GGGGGGGGGGGGGGAGAGTACACCCACAACCTGAATATTTTGCCACGAGTATAAATTTGTTAATCTTACTTATTATGATAATAAAAAATAATTCGGACTAATTGTTGCCCTTGATCATGTTATTGCTCAGGTTATTCGTATGGCAACTATTTTGATCCGGCAAAAGATTGTTCAGATGTTGTTGACAATGTTCCAAAAGCTAAAAGTGGAGTTTACTGGATTCAAACAGTAAAGGGCCCGGTCAAAGTAAGTAAAATAATGTGTGATTTATAATCAGGACTTTGTTGCAGATCCTACGTATCTTTAGCTACAAGTTCTGCTTTTTCAATTATCTGCACCTCAAAGTTCTTATCTCGCCAGATTAATCTCAAAGCGAATTCGTACGCAAATATAACGGCGTTCTCCCAGTAATTGCAGTCCTAGGGTGATTCGTGCACATGACCTCCAGTTTCAGGTTTTTACATTTGCAACCGTGGCCCAATTATCAATTTGATTTAGGCCTGGTGTGATGTTGATACATCTAGTGGGGGATTCTTGTTGATTGGTGTCAAAGATACACCTGAAACCTGGGCTATCCCTTCCAATTCCTCCCTTGTTCACCCTCACAGTCTGGCGAGGTGGTCGAGTGCATTTGGTGAGAAGAATATGTTGGATTTTCGTGTACAGATTTCAACGAGTAAAGATTTTCATGATACCCGAGCACACTGGTATGTGACATGTTGTTGCTTATTGTTGTTGTTTGTTGTTGCTGTTGTTGCCGTTGCCGTTGTTGCCGCTGTTGTTATTGTTGCTGCTGTTGTTGTCGCTGTTTTGATTGTTGTTGTCTTGAATCAAACACAGCGTAATTACTCCACTTTAGGTATTATCGTTTTAAATCCCCACGCATTCTTTCAAAATTACTGATGTCCGATGAAGGAGGATGCAGTCATCGATACCCAGGGATTGGGAACATTGCCTACGTTAAAGATCTTATGACTGGAAAGATGGCAACAACGACGTTTAATTGTTCGCGATTTGGAGCTTCAATTGCACCTGGACTGGGATGGGTATGTCACCCTATCCTACTTTTAATAGCTTTGATCCACAAGATTTTAATTTATGTACCTTGCAGAGTACTTCATCTTCCATCATTCTTATTCAATCAGGAGAAAATGAACAGATGTTTCAAAGAATCATGCCCAATTGGTTTTGCATATCTTCCTGGTTATCATATCGACACATCAGGCTCGTACAGGTAATTATTATGTTATGGTTTGAATTAGAAAATACAAACATTTTCACATACCGTCATGCTGTTTTCCTTCATGTAGCTACAGTGTCATGTCGGGACGTTCAGGCATACAGGACAGTCAAACATCATTCGTTGGATGTGATCATGGAAAGGTAAAGTACATCTAAAATATAAACGAGGAAACATTTGATTTGGGCGACAGAATTGTATTGGATATTGGCAAACGTTTGGTCCCTTGATCATATGATTAAAAGTGATTCAATCTAAATTCAGTGGTAAATTATCAACCTTAATAATTTCAATTTGCGAGCAAGACAAAATTTCATCATTAGTCTCAGTTTTTAAACGTTTTATATCAAATACAACATTGCATTCAGTCAGTTTATTTACAGGCCATTCGACTAGGCCTTGTCCGCCATTTTTGGGTGTTAAACCGCAGAAACGTTTTTCGTGTCTCCTAATGGTCCATAATAAAATATTTCCCGATTCGGCAAAAACCTACAATCATGGCAAAAACCTACAATCATGGCCAAATGTTGTGGAACGTAAAGTGCGATTTCGTGTTTTTACCCTTGAATAAAAAAAAAACCCTTCCCCCCAGTCAATGTTGTTTGGGATTGTTTTCTGCTCGGAATAAGCATCACACAATCTGATTTATTAACGCTAGGATCAACATTGGAAAGGGGGGCCGGGGGAGTTCCTTTTTCGTGAAGTCTATGACAATATTATAACTCGCGCGCCTTTACCTTTTAATTAGCTTGCGTTCCACAAACATTTGGCTATGATTGTAGCTATATAATGCGATGTTACGATTTTACAGTGCTGTGCATGTTTTGGTCCTGACAGTAAGCAGGATTACTGCGCACCAAAATGTCACGCAATCAATGGGGGAACTGTTTTAAGAGAAAAGGACAATATCACAGTTTGGTTTTGGATCCGTTCATCTTTACCAAAACGTGTTTGGAAAAAATGCATGGAGTTTAAAGAAAAGAACGATGCTGGAAAAATAGAAACATGGCGTGTCGAGAATGGAATAAGGAGAAAGGTATGGTAGAACGTTCAGTCAGGAAGAAGTTATTTCACTGACCTCAAAATGATATTTCGTCAAAAATTTTTTCTTCAAGATTGGTTTAGAAACAAACTTGGAGTAGAATTAGGTTAGTGTTAGGATTATGGTTTGGGTTAAAGTTCGTGTTTGGAAAAGAGCTAGTGTTGGTAAAACTGTTGCTTTGCGACGTTTTGTCACCCTGAGGCCAGCGAAATAACCTGTTCCCGTCACGTCAGTCATGGCGGCCATTGACGTCCAATAGCTCTGAAGGTCGTAAACAGCTTTTTTCCCATTCCGCCCCGGCTAATTCCAGTTTTTTCTAACGAAACGTATCGCTAACCAAGTTATCAGTTCATAAACCCATAGTGTTAGTATTTAAATCGATGTCAAAATACGAAATTTTGGCACACTCCTTGCCAAGATGGAGGAAATTGAAGGAGCTGTTGGACGTCAGTTCCAGTCCCTTTCTATTGTTTTTGTTTGCGCGGTTAACGTTTTGGACTCAAGTCCTCGCTCCAGATGTATATGGAGCTCATTGGAGTGTGCTAATCGTCCTTACTTGCAGCTGAGAGCTAAGCTGCAAGACGAGGGATGCAGCTCAGCCTGATCGACTCAAAGGCTTTCTAAGGGCGCCTCTGGTAGCCACCTTATGACTCAAGTCTGATAATATGGGGCACAGCTACGGTGGAAGGGTCAGTTCAGGGTCAAGGGTCAGTTTAGGGTCAAGGGTCAGTTTAGGGTCAAGGGTCAGTTTAGGGTCAAGGGTCAGTTTAGGGTCAAGGGTCAGTTTAGGGTCAAGGGTCAGTTTAGGGTCAAGGGTCAGTTTAGGGTCAAGGGTCAGTTTAGGGTTGAGTAAGGGTCAGTTCTACATGTTTTAAAATACAGTTTAAGAATTAAGACAACGTATATATTCAACAGACTGGTGCAAGATCTGAATTGTTCATATGCATGTATTACTTATTTAGGGTCCATGTTCAGTTCCTGAAGATGTCACAATTAATGATGGGGTAAGCTAGAAACTATGGTCATTAATTAAGTTTTTTAGGTACTATATCAAATTATTTCCCCTGCTTAGCAGAAAATCTGAGCCAAAGTGCATTTTTCCTGTGCTTAGAATAATTCTTCTTGTGGTATCACAACATCAAACAACATCACAGCACGGTTTTGTTGATTTTTTGCAGGTTGCAGTAGTCCCCAACAATCAATCAATGAACAAACTTCCAAAGGTGGAAGGTCTTCTTTCCTATCAATCTGATAAGAAGAAGCTGTATATCAAAGAAAAATCTCAGTGGACAGCATTGGCAAATCAGAACGAAGTACGTTGTACCTCCGTTTTACTGCGGATATTAGTTTTCAAAATATAAACGTAAAATTTCCTTCCCCCGCCTCAACTCCTCGACATTTTAAAACTGCCAGCTGCGCAGACAGGCATTTACTCGGCGTACTTGATTTGTGGAATATAATAGCTAAAATACGACAAACAATACTGAGTCTTTTAAGTTTTTAACACACTGAAAGACTGGATGGCACAATGGTTATCATAGTGTGCAAAGAATTATGCACGCAAAGGGCTCATTAGGAGAAAAATGCATGGCGACAACGCCTGATGAGGAAGGGAGGATCCAGCTTTTTTCACAAGAATCGTGCATTAGGTGATGCATGAAGTCGAAAGTACGTCAGTTCGTTGGGATCACCAATTGGTCGGCGATTTTAAGCAGTAAATGAAAGCGTTATCAACCAACATAGCTACAGGATAATTACGCCTCGCAATTAAGAATTGAATTTCACGATTAAACTAATCTTATCTTTTTCATAAAAAGATTAAAGATGTCATTGGAAAGCTTGACAGTTTCAAGCAAGAAATCAACAATAAACTTACAACGGTAAATAGTAAAAGGTAAAATGAGGGTATTACTTACGTAAAATAAAATAAAATATTAATAAGAAGAATTTTAATATATCTGTGCACGTTGAAGTACCCCCGCTAATCTCAATATAAAATTCTAGCTTATGTATAGTCGCTTTGAAACTTGTTGATTTTACAGTGAAAAAAAGATTAAAGATGTCACTGGTAAATTTGACAATAAACTTACAACGGTGAATAAAGGTAATATAATATAGAATATAATATAGAATTCTGACAAATATTGGCAGGCTTTATTTAGATGCGCTACCTATTTCGCAGGCTATATCAATATTAGTTCATTGGCTAATGTTATACTCCTAATGTTACATCTTTTTGTTTTTCATCAAAGACGTCAAAGACAACAAAGCGCTGATACAGAAATGGATGACTCGAAGGTAAAATGAGAGTATTATATAATGGTGTTCTTCTGCACTCTGTTTGTAGTCATGTGTTATGTGTATGTACATTTTGCGCAGTGAAGACAAAGTATTTTTGACATTACGTGATTATGAAGCAATCATGTAATAATGGCAATCAAAACACTCAACTCAAAACACTCAACTGCATGCACTGTTGAAATATTCATCACGCAAACTAATTTCAAAAGATTTTTGAACGTTGAAGTAGGCTTTGGCCTGTTTAGTATATACGTCGAATTTTGGTCGCGTCCGAATGCAATTTAGACAATAGATAATGAAGCTTAATGAGGTTTATCATCTCATTATCTATTGTCTTAATTGCATTCAACGCGCGACCAAAATTCGACGTATAAAACAGGCGTAAGTCGTCTGAATAAAAACTGTAGGTCATACGTAGCGTCTACGCTTTGAAATTTATTGAATTTGTAGTGAAAAAAAGATAAACGATGTGAGTGGGAAGCTTAATAGTTTTAAGCAAGAAATCAACAATAAACTTACGACGGTGAATAAAGGTAATAAAGAACTGAAAATTAATATAATAAAGAATTATGAAAATTATTAGTAAGTTTTATTTAGATGCTTTATGTCGATGTTTTATTTTATATTTTCTATTAGTTTATGGGCTAATACCACTCTTTCCCTTTTTAAACTATGTTAAAGTGCTGACACACAAATCATGCAAACAAATATGGATGAGTCGAAGGTAAAATGAGGGTACTTAATGGTTTTCTTTACTTTGCCATTGTTCTATCTTTTTTCATGTTTGTGCAAACATGATAAAGTAATTATCAACTGGTATAATTTCATCGAAATTGCTCATCCCGCGTTCTCAATTAATCGCACTCTTGGAATATTCTTAACCGCACTATTTTCAAAAGATTTGTACAAGCTAGTCATCTCAAAATACAAAAATCGTCGCTCATTATAGACGCTTTGAGTTTCCAGCGAGTTTTCTACATAAGTTATGTAAACCAAAAATTAAATGCAGAATATTTCGTTTATCTTACAGAAACAATGGAGATGGTGTTTACAGAATCAGTGTTAAGAACAGTCAAGTTATGGACGTGTACTGTCAAATGACTAACGTCTCAGGTTGCAAAGGTGGTGGTTGGACAATGGTGATGAAGATTAACGGAAGTTTGGTAAGCCAAAACGAGACCACAGAATAAGTCATACAGTAACCAGACTTCTTGGTTTTTCCTATGATTTTCCTATGATTTTGGCGTAACCGTAATTCGTCATCAAAATGCTGACGCCATGGTCCTAGCCAGTGCGCGTTTGAGAGGCATTCCCCCCTTGATAATAGTGAGCTTAACCAAGTGACGTTTTTGACAACACGGACGTCGATCGGAAGTAAAATTGACGTTTTGCACCAATCACAGCCCTTGACCCAGTCTTTTGACGTTACTCATGCCGTTCGTGTTGTCAAAAACATCACTTGCTTAAGCTCACTATTATTCAAAATGGCGGACGTCCAGGAGGGGGAATGCCTCTCAAACGCGCACTGGCTAGGACCATGGCGTCAGCATTTTGATGATGAATCATGGCGTGGCAGCAGTTACTCGAGTCGACCTTCTGTGTATCTTTATTCTGTGACGAGGCTCTATGGCCAAGATGACGTCTTTCCAGAAGGGTGTAAAGGACGAGGTTTCGGGTGAAGGTTGGGACTAAATGTAACTTTGGGATTGGGGTCATGTTTAGGAATAAGTTCGAGGATTAGGAATCAGATTTAGGATTAGGCTGAGATGAAAGACTAAAGTCAATCTGACTAAATCTTAGTATTTGTTTTTTTAGAGTACTTTCAAATACACTTCCTCCTATTGGACGAACAAAGTCATTTACCATGACTATGCCTATGGGCGAAACGGCGGTTTAGACAACCGACAATTTAAAGGATCGACTTATTGGAGAACCTCATTTAAAGAAATTTGTGTTGGTATGAAATATGGTAGTCGTTTAAGAGCCTTCTCTTTCTCGTATCCGGCATCATCTCTGCATAGCTTGATCGCAGACGGAAACTATCGACAAACTCGCCTTGGTCGCGCGCAGTGGAAATCATTGATCAGTGGATCATCCTTACAGCGCAACTGCAACCAAGAGGGATTTAACGTGGACCGATTAACCAAGTCCCTAATTGTAAAAGTTCGGTTGGGCATTATTGCAAACAAGGAAAATGGTTGTGCTTCACCAGACTCTTTCGTAGGCCTGGGAGCTGAAGGTGGTGTGAATTATCCCAAGGGCTGGACATGGTGCAGGTCTTCATATACATCTGCTAACGCCGCGGGTAATCTTGCCCAGTGTGGTGCAGACAACGGAAACAAGAATGCCAGAGCCATGGCATACATATTGGTTCGTTAAAAGAACTGAGTGGTCCGATTTACACTAGAGATGGATCAATCGTCAAAACACATCATCTGTCCGACGGATCATTCGGTCATATGTTGCACGAGGCAATATTTTCTGCAACTTGCAATGCAGTTTCTGTCACAGAAGAGCCTTGGCTAGCTATAAAAGTTTGGAAATTTCTGAGCATCGTCCACGGTTTAGTCTGACGACATTTTTCATCCCGTTTCTTTCATTTTCATCCTTAAGAGTATGTTCCGTGTAATGATAAAGTTTCGGCAGAGTGGAATGCGGGCCATGTTCATTATTTCTCTGTAGTACGTTTTAGATAACATGACTCACTCATTTGGCTCTGTATATCTGAAGTTGCAGCAAACGTTGCCTCGCGTGACATGACCTTAAAGTTTAGTGTAAACACGATAGATAAACCATCCAGACGAAATAAAATATTGCAGGGAAATCATGAGCGTGGCTCATCGTTTAATCTGTCAACATTTTTCATTATATTTCTTTCAATTTTCATCCCTTAATGGTTTTGGGAACAAATCATGCCTGATATTTCCCTGATAGCTTGTCTAATGCCGTCGAAATATCTTAATTTTTCCGCTCGCAAAAATTCGTCCAAATTTGGCCGTCTCTATGATAAATCGGGTCATTCACATTTAAGATTCATTTAAATTAATTAACATATGATCACAATGGCTAATTAGTATAGTAAAGGAACTATAGATTAAATCTTCAATGTTAGGGGACTATATAATCACAAAGTGGTAATAGCACGATATTAATTTTACTTTAAGTTGATGATTATCATATACTTGCTTTATTTTAATCAACATTTTTTTCAATTATCAGAATTGCATGGTTAAAAACTTCGCATTGCGAAATGCAATCAAGGGTTGGTACTTTATGTAATCTAAATTGAAGTGTAGGAACATGTAATCCAAATGATGTAATCTTGATTAAACCAATTTGTCGATCAACTAGTGCGGTGCTGAAATTATTTAAAATAATTCATGTTTATCTCATTACTGTGGTCGATAGTCAAGCTTCATGCAAATATCGACCTCACTGAAAGAAGAAAGATATCAATGCTTTTAAATGGAGTCAGTCATCTAGATATTTATGAAAATATATGTCGAAACTCTATTAGGCAAAAAACCCTGGGTTTCTGTTTCCCGACTCCACCTATAGCTTATGGCTCTACTAAAATCACAGACTTTAATGCAGTTATGTATATGTATCTTATAACATTGCTTCTTTGTTTAGTTCGTTCTTGAAAAAAAGGGGGAGAAAAATTATTGATTTAATAATGGCTTACTTGGAAATACTTGAATTTATGTGGGCAGCAGTTGAATTTAACAGTCTTTGTTTAATTTTTTTTTAAACTATATATATAAGATTTAGAAGAGAACAAAAGAACAACATTCTAAATTACTCAGGAAGCATGGATTTTTTAAACGAAATTCTATGTTTCAAGGATATTTTTAAATGATTTATAATTCAAGAAACTAAGAAAGAGCCAGCATTAATGGCATGAAGACTATAATGATTTTACTTCATATCCGTCGTAACTCAACTACAGGAAATGACGGTATGATGAAATACAAACAGTTTTCAAATTTCAAAATGCAAATTTTCAAAATTTCAAATCATGCACCCATTTTTTTTATGAACGTATTTTATGAGGGAACCACAATCACTCGAAAGTGTTTTTCATGCAGGCCCTCAGATTATTAAAATACAATCAACAAAGGTAAAATATTAAAAGATAGTAAAGCAGATCCACACAGCATATTGCACTAAATTATATCTATAATCATACGAGTAAAAGTGCTGGTCACTATTTAAAATTGTGACTAAAGAGTTCAAACTAGATTTATAAACTACGAATACAAATTCCAATACTTAGACTTAAAATTCAGGCTAAAATATTCCAATCCTTAGTAAAATGATAGTGTGTTCTTAATTGTCCCCAGTGAGTATTTATGACAGGTATAAGATGATCTTTATTTCTTGTATTGTATGAATGGACCTCACTGGGGATATATAATATTACATCTTCTGGGAATATCAGCCGCCAAACAACACGTGGATTATTACCAACAAATAAATCACAATAACGATACGGCTCTGATTGCCCCATATATAATATTAGAATATGATCAAGTTTTTTTATGCAAATTGCATGGAATATTCGATCTATATATATGATTTTTGGATTTTCATGCATGCAAACATATTAAGTGACTTGACGTTATCTAAAACTATTTTTCAGGAATATACTCAGAATAGACTTCAGATCTGTTGTCATAGGATTCAGTCTAGAATTTACTCGCGGAGCTCAACCCACTCATTTTAAAAGTTACAACTGAATATCAGAGCATTCTTTTGTACCCAATCGGAGCCACGTTTCAACAGCAAGAATGTTTACAATGAAGAGATATATTCCAAATCTGTAGTTCGGGGGAAAGTCGATGTGACGCATGCAGTGACTGCAAGTGTAAAACACAAATACAGTGAAAAATTGATGATTTTATCAGTGATATATCACAACACAGTGTGATAAACCAATTGCACCACTTCACTCCTTATGTATGGGAATTTGAGAATTCCAGATACAATTTGATTCCAGTTACAATTCCAGATTGAAGTTTCGTTTAAGCCTAGTGATTTATTTCAATACATCAAAATTATCCCGTCATTCATCCCGCCCCGGCTACCTGGGATCATGTGAACAGCCCCTAATTCTTGCTTAGCAGCCTCGCCTTTTCTCGCTTATTAACGGTAGCTAATTTGGGTATTTCATTCAAGTATTTGTGCAAATGTCCACATTCCACAAGAAGTCGAAAGAGCCGGCCTCGGATCGGTTTTCGATCGCTCTAATTTAGATCGATTATACAAAGTGTGAACGTACGGCCCCCGAGACGCGGTTTCTCGTGTGATCATGAACTAAATGCAATAGGTTTTTTATGTGACCGTCAACTATAGGCGTAATAGGTTTTTTCATGTGAATTATTAAACTATGATCAAACTTAAGTACAGTAAACGTAATTTGAATACATAACCCCCTTTCCTCTATGGCTAACGCTTATACTGCGTTCAACTTCAGATCACCCGTGAAGAAGACACAAAACTGGAAGACAAAAACGATCCACTGTGTAAAATGTATTGACGTAGAATTAAAAGCATAAATATTTCAGCATAAAGCATCGAAATATTATTATTGGCTTCTGGATTATATCATACCTCAACATCCAAGTCTTCCGTCTTAGTTGATCAATTATACGAAAACAAGGTCAAAGAGTTGACATGTTCCATTAAACAAAACAGAAATGTAAATAATGAATGCGTTTTAAGCCAAGGGGTATAGTGACTTAAATGCTAGATTTTCCTATATTCCTTTCACAATAAACACGACATTTACCAACAAGTATGTAAGATGGTCGTTATACTACCTGGTAAGTAAAAAAAAAAAGCCTTATAGTTGAAAGAAAAGTAAAATAAGAATTTTTTCTTTATCTATATGCATAATCATTTTGCGCGGACAAACTTCCTTCAGCAAGAAAAGTTAAATCTATGATTACATGAGTCATTGACATAAATCAACACAGTTGATTCTTTCAATACAAATGCGCTTTCCTTACGAAAATTTCGTCATTTGAGGTCAGTTCGAAGAAGAGAGAAATTTTTACAACAGCCGCGCAACTGAAAATGAGGGTGTTGCCAGCAGTTTTAACTTTGACTCTTGTTACAACGCTTTGCGCCGTAAGTATACATAACTCACAAGTAATTGTCTAACTTGATTTTAAATAAAGCAAATAAAGCAAATAAAGACAAATACATATATTTTCTATTTGTGGCGTTTTTTGGTTTATCATAGAACATGTACGATATCAAAGTAGGCACGAACTCAAATATCAAATTTGAGTGTATTTCGTTGAACCTATATCAAGTTTTATTTAGTTTTCTATTCAAATTTTATACTTACTTTGATTTAAGACTGAATTAACAATATACAGGATGGGCATAACTCTATAGGGAGAACAGTTTATAGAAATAATAGAGCTAGCTATTTAGTATAAATAAAGTCATTTCATGCAGTAATAAACGATGGTCCTCATTGGACCTCTCATGGAAGATGCAGTATAAACATTGAAACTAGAATATATAGAATAGAATATATTTGCTCACAAAAAATATTTACAATGGGAATATAGCTAAAATACAATAATATAAAGGAGCTATAGGGACCTTTTGAAATCCTGTTGGAGTTTTGATATAAGGCCCCTATATTGTTTGGAATAAAATAAAATACATAAATCTAAATTGGTTCAATATATATCATATGTTTTAGCTAACAATATTTATATTAACAAGTAATTTAATTTTGCTTTTTTCAAAGGAAAAATACGATTTTTGATTTTTAATCTCTTCATCAAGACAATTCCATATGGAAATTCCCTTGTTATAAACAGTGTGAATACGATAGTTCGTCCTTTTATAACGAACGTGCAATTTTGAAGAGTTTCGCGTACTTATAATTATGCAATTCTTTATTTTGAATAAAGTAATAATTGTAAAGGTTTGGCAAATTTTGATCATAATTCATGCAGCGATACATAAATAGACTGCAAAGATGATCATTAATTTTGTAGATATTCAAGATTTTAAGATTAAAAAATAAAGCTGTATAAGATTTAAAACTGATAGTGCTATCCATGCAGTATAAAAATAGTTAGTTTAGTTAGGTTTTCTGTAGTAACACAGTCACGGGACCAATAGGGATGGTCTTTATGGGACCTTTTGAAAGAATAGTTGAGACATGATAGAACTATCAGCATAAAATTAAGTTAGCTTAGTTTAATGCTTTTGTATATAGTAAGTATACTATAACAAAGAACAAATGCATGATGGCTCTTCCTGGAACTCTAAACCCATAAGGACGAAAGAGAGTTGGACATAAATGAAAAAGAGCTACCTAAATCTCAATTTAAACACATCAGGTAAATCCATACGATCCTGGCATTTGCACAAAAACGAAGAGAGGAAAATTTATGGTTGTTAAAGATTATAGTGATGACGATAAAATCGTGGTTTGTGTTGAACATCATGGAAAATATCAATGGGATATGATCAATGGTACTAACATCGTTTCAAATACATGTTTTTATTCGCATGCCCTTGCACACCATGCATGCATGCAGTACAGTTTTTAAATTCACAGTTTCTGTGTTTGTGAAGTAACTCTAAAGACAGTACCTTTTTGCTTTTTACTATGGGGTTGTAAATGGTGATTTTGAAGCTTTACATGTAAATGTATAATGGACTAAATAATGTAATGAGTGAAACAAGCGAAATTTTACCCACAAACTGACACCCAATTAATGAGCGAAACCACTGAACATTAACGAGCGAGCTACTGAATTATTTCAAGATATGGAGGGCAAAGTTTTTTTTTATGAATTTATTGGTAAAAATGTGAGGTACGTAAAAAAAGGCTAAAGGCCCAAAAACGTAAGGCTGGTTTATACTATAAAAGTTTCTGTCCGTAATCACAGTAGGAATTTTGCATCGTATTTGTAAGAAATGTTTAAAGAAACTCATTGTTTAACACTATGGTAGTTAAACACTATATTAATATGAAAGTTAAAGTTGGTTTAGTATAAAAATAATGATAATGCTTATTACTAAAATACACCATCGTACCATCATAATTGAGAATTTTGCGTTGAGTCAGGTCATTCGTATGGCAACTATTTTGACCCGGCAAAAGATTGTTCAGATGTTGTTGACAATGTTCCAACAGCTAAAAGTGGAGTTTACTGGATTCAAACAGAAAAGGGCCCGGTCAAAGTAAGTAAAATAATAAGTGATTTATAATCAGGATTTGCCTTGATGAACCCGATCATTTTGAGAGCAACACGAAATTACAGCTGAATCAAAAGAGAGACAGGAGGAAAGCTGTCTTCAATATCCCTGATATTGCAAGTGCATTTCCATACAGAATGTGTGGCAAAGTGGAATGTGTGCCAGTCAACCATAGGGCTTTTGCCCTTTTTTTGCCCATAAAAAAACTCATCAGTGAATGACATAAAAAATTCAATAATTCATTTGTCTAAATCTGTTTTGGGGAACTCATGCGCCGTACCGACGAGAGACTCGATCTTAATTTCATCCCTGCAGTCCCATGCGAGAAGGTGCTTCCATTTGCGTACTCCATCAAATAACAGGAGTTTCCTCTGGGTTCTCCATACTGGAGTGACATCGAATCAATTATGAGGGTTGACCCTTACTGGACCTCTAGTAGTGTAGAACTAATAGAAAAATCCAGTAGTCCAGTTTACGTTCCCTCCATTAGTTATACACACTGGTCAAATTAGGGATGACTCTCAATGGACCTCTGAGAAGAGCAGTTTATATTTGTTCAGCTTTCCTAAACTGAGATTGATCTTTTTTATTCAGGGATGGTGTGATGTTGATACAGATGCTGGTGGGTTCCTGTTGATTGGTGTCAAAGATACACCTGAAACCTGGGCTATACCTTCCAATTCTTCCCTTGTTCACCCTGAAGGTGTGGCTAGGTGGTCGAGTGCATTCGGCAAGAAGAATGTATTAGATTTTCGTGTGCAGATTTCAACGAGTAAAAATTTTCATGATACTCGCGCACATTGGTATGTAACGTGTTGTTGTTGTTGTTGTTGACTTGTTGTCATTGTTCTAATTTGTTGTTGGTGCTGCTATTGCTCTTGTTATTGTTTTGTTGCTGTTACAATTGTTATTGTTTTCTTTGCTGTTGTTTTGATTGTTGTTGTTGTTGTTCGCATTTTAAGCGAATACTATAAATACTCTACTTTAGGTATTACCGCTTCAACTCTCCACGCATTCTTTCAAAATTACTGATGTCCGATGAAGGAGGATGCAGTCATCGATACCCAGGGATTGGGAACATTGCCTACGTTAAAGATCTTATGACTGCAAAGATGGCAACAACGACGTTTAATTGTTCGCGATTTGGAGCTTCAATTGCACCTGGACTGGGATGGGTATGTCACCCTATATATCCTACTTTTAATAGCTTTGATCCACAAGATTTTAATTTATCTACCTTGCAGAGTACTTCATTTCCCATCATTTTTATTCCACCAGGACAAAATGAACAGATGTTTTAAAAAATCATGCCCAATTGGTTTTGCATATCTTCTTAGTTATCATGTTGACACATCAGGCTCGTACAGGTAATTATTATGTTATGATTTGAATTAGAAAATACAAACATTTTCACATACCGTCATGCTGTTTTCCTTCATGTAGCTACAGTGTTATGTCTGGACGTTCAGGCATACAGGACAGTCAAACATCATTCATTGGATGTGATCATGGAAAGGTAAAGTACATCTAAAATATAAACGAGGACACATTTGATTTGGGCGACAGAATTGGTCCCTTGATCATATGATTTGGTCCCTTGATCATATATGACTTAACAGTAATTCAATCTAAATTGGTAAATTATCAACCTTGATAATTTCAATTTGCGAGCAAGGAGCCCTAGGCAAAATTTTATCATTAGTCTCAGTTTTTTAAAGTTTTATATCAAATACAACAATGCATTCAGTCAGTTTGTTTACTGGCCATTGGACTAGGCCTTGTCCGCCATTTTTGGGTATATAAATTAAATATTTCCCGATTCGGCAAAAACCTACAATCATGGCCAAATGTTGTGGAACGTAAAGTGCGATTTCGTGTTTTTACTCTTAATTTAAATAAAAAACCCTTCCCCCCAGTCAATGTTGTTTGGGAAGTTTTCTGCTCGGAATAAGCATCACACAATCTGATTTATTAAGGCTAGGATTAACACTGGAAAGGGGGGACCGGAGGAGTTCCTTTTTCGTGAAATCTATGACAATATTATAACTCGCGCGCCTTTACCTTTTAATTAGCTTGCGTTCCACAAACATTTGGCTATGATTGTAGCTATATAATGCGATGTTACGATTTCACAGTGCTGTGCATGTTTTGGTCCTGACAGTAAGCAGGATTACTGCGCACCAAAATGTCAAGCAATCAATGGGGGAACTGTTTTAAGAGAAAAGGACAATATCACAGTTTGGTTTTGGATCCGTTCATCGTTACCAAAACGTGTTTGGAAAAAATGCATGGAGTTTAAAGAAAAGAATAGTGCTGGAAAAATGGAAACATTCCGTGTCGAGGATGGAATAAGGAGAAAGGTATGGTAGAACGAAACTAGAAATACAGGTAGGTAAGTAAGTGGGGGGGTGCCAGTGAGCTCCATATTTTATCTGGAGTAAGAACGTCAGTCATTCATGGCGGCCATTGACGTCCAATAGCTCTGAAGGTCGTAAACAGCTTTTATACCACCCCCCCCCCGCTAATTCCAGTTTTTTAGTCAATGTCAAAATACGAAAATTCGGTACACTCCTTGCCCAATCTCGTTACCCGAGCCTGCGATCCTCGGAAAGGAACGTGAGGTTCTGGGATAATCCGTTTCAGGGAGGAATCTGATTGGCCGTTGATATGGAATACGCAGTTCGGTCTTAGCCAGGATTCCTGGCTTCCGGCAACGGATTATCCCAGAGCCTCACGTTCCTTCCCGAGGATCGCAGGCTCGGGGAACGAGATTGACTCCTTGCATGCCAAGATGGCGGAAATAGAAGGAGCTATTGAACGTCATTTCCAGTCCTTTTCTGTTGTTTTTATCTGCGCGGTGAACGTTCTCGAGTTCTCGCTCGAGCAAAGAAAGCAAAGCTGAACTACGGACGCTGCTCAGCCTGGTCGAGTCGAAGGCTTTCTAAGGGCGCCTCTGGTAGTCTCAAGTCTGACAATGGAGCACAGCTACGGTGAAAGGGTCAGTTTAGGTTGGGCTTCTATACGTTTTAAAATACAGTTTAAGAATTAAGACAAGGTATATATTCAACAGACTGGTGCAAGATCTGAAACAAAACCATATGAGGTTCCCCTTATAAGACATTTGTCTATATAATTGTTCATATGTACTGCTTATTTAGGGTCCATGTTCAGTTCCTGAAGATGTCACAATTAATGATGGGGTAAGCTAAAAGTCATTAAGTAAGTTTTTTATGTATTATATCAAATTATTTCCCCTGCTTAGCAGAAAATCTGAGCAAAACTGCATATTCTCTGTGCTTAGAATAATTCTTCTTGTGGTATCACAACATCAAACAACATCACAGCACGGTTTTGTTGATTTTTACAGGTTGCAGTAGTCCCTAACAATCAATCAATGAAGAAACTTCCAAAGGTGGAAGGTCTTCTTTCCTATCTTTCTGATAAGAAGAAGCTGTATATCAAAGAAAAATCTCAGTTCCGATCTATTGGCAAATCAGAAAGAAGTACGTTTTACCTCAAGTTTTACTGCGGATATTAGTTTTCAAAATATAAACGTAAAATTTCCCTCCCCCGCCTCAACTCCGGACATTTTAAAACTGCCAGCTGCGACAGACAGGCATTTACTCGGCGTACTTGATTTTGTGGAATATAATAGCTAAAATACGACGAAGAATACTGAGTCTTTTTAATAACACACTGAAAAGACTGGATGGCACAATTGTTATCATAGTGTGCAAAGAGTTATGCATGCGAAGGGTTCATTAGGAGAAAAATGAATTGCGACAACGCCTGTTGAGGAAGGGAGGATCCATCTTTTTTCACAAGAATCGTGCATTAGGTCATGGGATCACCAATTGATCGGCGATTTTAAGCGATAAATGAAAGTGTTATTAACCAATATATCTACAGGATAATTACGCCTCGCAATTAATTAAGAATTCACGATTAAACTAATCTTGTCTTTTTCATAAAAAGATTAAAGATGTCATTGGAAAGCTTGACAGGTTCAAGCAAGAAATCAACAATAAACTTACGACGGTGAATAAAGGTAATTATAATAAAGAATTATGAAAATTATTAGCAAGTTTTATTTAGATGCTTTACCTTGCCCTAACTTCGATGTTTTATTTTCTATTTTCTATTAGTTCATTGGCTAATACCACTCTTTTCCTTTTTAAAGATGTTAAAGTGCTCACACACAAATCATGCAAACAAATATGGATGAGTCAAAGGTAAAATCTTTACTTTGCCATTGTTCTATTTTTTTTCATGTTTGTACAAACATGATAAAGTAATTGTCAACTGGTATAATTTCATCGAAATTGCTCATCCCGTTCTCAATTAATCGCACTCTTGGAATATTCTTAACCGCACTATTTTCAAAAGATTTGTACAAGCTAGTCATCTCAAAATACAAAAATCGTCGCTCATTATAGACGCTTTGAGTTTCCAGCGAGTTTTCTACATAAGTTATATAAGCCAAAAATTAAAATGCAGAATATTTCGTTTATCTTACAGCAACAAGGGAAGTCGTGTTTACCAAATCAGTGTTGGAAACAATCAAGTTATGGACGTGTACTGTCAAATGACGTCAGTCTCAGGATGCCATGGCGGTGGTTGGACAATGGTGATGAAGATTAACGGAGACTGGGTAAGCCAAAACGAAGCCACAGAATAAGTCATAGTGAGTCATACAGAAACCCGACTTCTTGGTTTTTCCTATGATTTCCCTGATTTTGGCGTAACCGTAATTCGCCATCAAAATGCTGACGCCATGGTCCTAGCCAGTGCGCGTTTGAGAGGCATTCCCCCCCCTGATAATAGTGAGCTCAAGCAAGTGACGTTTTTGACAACACGGACGTCGATCGGAAGTAAAATTGACGTTTTTCACCAATCACAGCCCTTGACCTAGTCTTTCGACGTTACTCATGCCGTTCGTGTTGTCAACAACATCACTTGCTTAAGCTCACTATTATTCAAAATGGCGGACGTCCGGGGGGGGGGAGGGGAATGCCTCTCAAACGCGCACTGGCTAGGACCATGGCGTCAGCATTTTGATGATGAATCATGGCGTGGCAGCAGTTACTCGAGTCGACCTTCTGTGTATCTTTATTCTGTGACGAGGCTCTATAGCCAAGATGACGTCTTTCCAGAAGGGTGTAAAGGATGAGGTTTCGGGTGAAGGTTGGGACTAAATGTAACTTTGGGATTGGGGTCATGTTTAGGAATAAGTTCGAGGATTAGGAATCAGATTTAGGATTAGGCTGAGATGAAGGACTAAAGTCAATCTGACTAAATCTTAGCTTTTGTTTTTATAGAGTACTTTCAAATACAGTTCCTCTTATTGGAAGAGCGAAGCACTTACAATGACAATGCCTATGGGCGAAACGACGGTTTAGACAACCACGAATATAAAGGATCGACTTACTGGAGAGCCTCATTTAAACAAATTTGTGTTGGTATGAAATTTGGTAGTCGTTTAAGAGCCTTCTCTTTCTCGTACCCGGCATCATCTCTGTATAGTTTGATCGCAGACGGAAAATATCGACAAACTCGCGTTGGTCGCGCGCAGTGGAAATCATTGATCTATGGATCATCCTTACAGAGTAACTGCAACCAAGAGGGATTTAACGTGGAACAATCATCAAATTACCCAATTGTAAAAGTTCGGTTGGGCATTATTGCAAACCAAGAAAATGGTTGTGATTCACCCGACTCTTTCGTAGGCCTGGGAGCTGGGGGTGGTCTGAATTATCCCAAGCGCTGGTGTGGGTCTTCGCATACATCTGCCAACGCCGCGGGTAATCTTGCCCAGTGTGGTGCAGACAACGGAAACAAGAATTTCAGAGCCATCACTGCAAAAAATCCTGAGTAAAATGTACTCAAAACCATGAGTAAATGAATGCACCCATAGTGACACATAATAGTGAGTAAAACTAACTCATAAACGCGAGTAACAGTTACTTACATTTTCGAGTGAATCTCACTAAAAAAACTGAGTTAAAACTACTCAAAGTACACACATGCATATAGTTGATACATTACTCAAACTTTGAGTAAATGTTACTCAAAACTGGAGTAATTTTACTCAAAAGATGAGTTGTAGTTACTCAAAAAAAATGCACCCATACCGCCTCTTTATTTTGAGTAAATGTAAAGATTACTCAAACTTTGAGTAAATGTTACTCAAAACTGGAGTAATTTTACTCAAAAGATGAGTTGTAGTTACTCAAAAAAAATGCACCCATACCGCCTCTTTATTTTGAGTAAATGTAAAGATTACTCAAACTTTGAGTAAATGTTACTCAAAACTGGAGTAATTTTACTCAAAAGATGAGTTGTAGTTACTCAAAAAAAATGCACCCATACCGCCTCTTTATTTTGAGTAAATGTAAAGATTACTCAAACTTTGAGTAAATGTTACTCAAAACTGGAGTAATTTTACTCAAAAAATGAGTTCTAGTTACTCAAAAAAAATGCACCCATACCGCCTCTTTATTTTGAGTAAATGTAAAGATTACTCAAACTTTGAGTAAATGTTACTCAAAACAGGAGTAATTGTACTCGAAAAAGAGTTCTAGTTACTCAAATAAAATGTATGCCTAGTGACTCCTCATTTGGAGTAAATGTAAAGATTACTCAAACTTTGAGTAAATGTTACTCAAAACTGGAGTAATTTTACTCAAAAAAGAGTTCCAGTTACTCAACTAAAATGTACCCATACTGACTCCTTATTTCGAGTAAATGTAAAGATTACTCAAACTTTGAGTGAGCGTTTCTCAAAGCTTCAGATTTATCTACATATACCTCTATATAGAAAATTTCAGTTACTATGACGCAACAAATACACGTACAGACAAAACCAAGAGTAAACACAGACAATATTTGGTGACTAAATGTTATAATTAATTAATAATCGTTAAAAATCCACAATGGACAGTCAATACACAATAAAATCTGTCTGCATGCATGGAGCTGGCAAATAACGCTGCAGCAGACTGATATCGAGAAATCAGCAAACCGCTCTATAGTGTAAAATACTGGCTATTTTGGAGGACGAGTATGCAGTCCAGTTTTTAGATATATGCCAGCTGTCTTCTTATACACATGAATGGTTAAATTCACCTTAATACAACACCTAACAGATTGTTTATTTCTGTAAAATAATTTGGAAATATTTTTATAGAAATTTTATTCGGATTATATAACACAGAGCATGAAAAGCTTGGGTTTACTGTGGCCGGGCTAAAACAAATGTGTGACCATTGCATGAGTGTGTGACTGAATCTGAACTTAACCTTTCATGTGTATATAAATCGTCCACAAAAATTAAAAGTCTTGAAAAAAGATTATGAATGAATGATCGATCAATTATTAAAGTATTCATGCAAGTTTCATTGTTTCAACTTCAAGGTTTAATCAAGGTATTAAAGAGAACAGTCTTCTATAAAATTATATCTGTATACTTATATAATGTTTAAAATAGTTATTGTAAATTATGTTCCTAGCATATTAGTCAATCTAGTTGGCCATCGAGTCCAGTTTATTGACGAAGCTAATAACTGAAGATGGCAGCTTCTTGCCATCGTTGATGTTCAACACACACATTTGCAAGAACAAACAGAAATTATTCAAGGTACCTGCGTACTCGAACATAAAAACATAATTTACAGCCATAAATACCACAGCTCTTGACAGCTGCGTCCACCACCCACTCTTGAAACGTGAAAAGGACCATCTTTTCTGCTACAATAGCCGTCTCCTCCCAATCATCGGGGTCTCCCTTAATGACTATTTTCGGGCTTACTTCGTTCGCACTCTCGGCAGCATCTTCAAAGCTTTCATCCTCCTATCAAAAATAGAAGTGTATATTTAAAAAGAGATTACATGCACATTTAATTTCTATTTACCTGCCTGAAGTATATATACAACACAAAATACATCATCATTAATTAATATTCTATTTCCATGCATCCATGTGCTTCCATTTAATAGATTCATTCAATTCTTATAGCTGTACAGCAAGTACACTGTATATATGTGTAGCAAACACATATTATTTACTCTTGATTTCAATTTGCTTTTGTAATCTGACTTCAAATGTTTGTTTGTAAGTTCCAGTGTGACCAGATTTTTTCAGCAGTCATTACCAAAATTTTGTTCAAATTTTACTAAATTAAGAAAAATTTTACCAAATGTCGGCTTCCCAAATAATTACGTCATGATAATGCCAAAAAAACAATAGTTACGTCATCAAAGTAGAAAAAATATTCACAAAAAGTGTCTCGAAATACTTGTTGCTTTCATCGTATTGCAGTTTTTGCTAATGATAAGGCTTTATTTCTTAGGCTTGGCAGTTCTGTTCATCACTTTGAGCACGTTATTAAACAAGAAACACACATTTTTACCAACTATTTTTAATAATTCAAACCTTTCAGATTTTACCAAAATTTTACCAAAAGAAACTCATTACCAAATTTTCTTGAAAATTCACGAAATTTTACCAAAAGTAAAACTGTTTACCAAATCTGGTCACACTGGTAAGTTCAGAATGTTCGTTGCAATGTTATGAGTTCCAGTTCCGATGATTTACGATGATTCAATAGCTAAGCAATTTGATTGGCTTGACATATTTAACTAGCCAATTAGAACTTAGCAAAGCTCGATACATTGTAAATCATCGGAACAAATTCGAGAACAACTTTTGAACTTTGCAGCGAACATTCCGAACTTACAAACAAAAATTTGAAGTCAGATTACAAAAGCAAATTGAAATCGAGAGTAAAGGCCGTATAAACTCTGTAATGTACATGTAAACAAACACTTTGTTTACATTTTGAATTCAGTGCCATATTTGTAAAATATGATATACTGAGTTAATTCTGGTTCGCTATGCTTGTATAACAGTACAAACTATAAGAGTACAAACTAGAGTTTCAATTCAAGAAAGTTTGAAAGTTGCGAAATATTATCAACAGTCCAATGGTAGGCCTGTGCAGAACGTATGTGCGGAACAGACTTTACATGGTCCTTTAAGCTGCTGCAGCAAACATCCACTGCAGCAACAAATTTATAATTCTTATTAATGATTACTTACAGGGATATATTGCACAAAGTCGCTCTGACAACCCTTTCCTGCTTTCAGCTTCTGGAGCAATGGCAAAACCAGCATTGCAATGTCCAGAGTTTCGTCCAAAACAAAGTAAATAAACATTTAGGTAATTAATATTCTGTTTAATCGTAGCATGTATAGTTTCTTAATGCTGTATTTTACCATAGGTGGCACATTAAACTTACTGTTGATAGTTTCCATCTCTTCCCATGCATGCCTATTATAGTTTCCATCTCTTCCCATGGGAGCCTATTATCTTCTCAACCATGTTAAAGAGGTTCTGATAAAAGTGCTGTTGTTTTGTCGGGGAGCTATTCTGGGGAGCTATTCAGGTGTCTCAAACAAGTGCCATGAACCTGAGTGATTTGTTGCTCAAAGGTGGAAAAATTGAAAATCATCAGTGCAGAATGAAAAGGTTTACATCTAATTGCATCCCCTTTCATGAGCAGCTGGTTTTAACATGCAGGTTAAAGGCGGCATACACAACTGTCACAACAACAGGAAAATGCATCAACATGAATGCATAAAATTCATGTCAAAATTCAAGACAAACTGTACTGTTATTTAAGTTTGTTGCCAATTACAAACTGCATGTTTTCAGTTATTCTATTTCTAAATTTTGGTTAAAATGAGTAGAAATAATAGAATACAGTAAATAAATAGTACCCTTGCAAACCAGTTGCTCTATTTTGAGTAGGAAAAATTAAAAATCATTAGCACAGAAGGTATACAGCCATGCATCTCCCCTTTCATGAGCGGCTTGCTTTCACATGCCACTCAAAAGAGGTGCTGGTAAAAGGCAGCATAACTGCCTTACACAACAACAGAAAACTGCATCAACATGAATGTATACAAGCCTTAAATTCTGTCTCAGTAGTTCTCACTGACAGGCAGCTCTGGAATGTGCCACCTGAGTGAGCTATTGGTTAAAGGCGGCAAGTGCCGGCCTTACACAAAAGCTGAAAAACAGCAATACTGAGGTCAAAATTCAAGACAAACTGTACTGTTATTTAAGTTTGTTGCCAATTACAAACTGCATGCGCATGTTTTCAGTTATTATATTTCTAAATTTTGGTTAAAATGAGTAGAAATAATAGAATACAGTAAATAAATAGTACCCTTGCAAACCAGTTGCTCTATTTTGAGCAGGAAAAATTAAAAATCATTAGCACAGAAGGTATACAGCCATGCATCTCCCCTTTCATGAGCGGCTTGCTTTCACATGCCACTCAAAAGAGGTGCTGGTAAAAGGCAGCATAACTGCCTTACACAACAACAGAAAACTGCATCAACATGAATGTATACAAGCCTTAAATTCTGTCTCAGTAGTTCTCACTGACAGGCGGCTCTGGAATGTGCCACCTGAGTGAGCTTTTGGTTAAAGGCGGCAATTGCCGGCCTTACACAAAAGCTGAAAAACAGCAATACTGAGGTCAAAATTCAAGACAAACTGTACTGTTATTTAAGTTTGTTGCCAATTACAAACTGCATGTTTTCAGTTATTTTATTTCTAATTTTTGGTTAAAATGAGTAGAAATAATAAAATACAGTAAATAAATAGTACCCTTGCAAACCAGTTGCTCTATTTTGAGCAGGAAAAATTAAAAATCATTAGCACAGAAGGTATACAGCCATGCATCTCCCCTTTCATGAGCGGCTTGCTTTCACATGCCACTCAAAAGAGGTGCTGGTAAAAGGCAGCATAACTGCCTTACACAACAACAGAAAACTGCATCAACATGAATGTATACAAGCCTTAAATTCTGTCTCAATAGTTCTCACTGACAGGCGGCTCTGGAATGTGCCACCTGAGTGAGCTTTTGGTTAAAGGCGGCAAGTGCCGGCCTTACACAAAAGCTGAAAAACAGCAATACTGAGGTCAAAATTCAAGACAAACTGTACTGTTATTTAAGTTTGTTGCCTATTACAAACTGCATGTTTTCAGTTATTTTATTTCTAATTTTTGGTTAAAATGAGTAGAAATAATAGAATACAGTAAATATATAGTACCCTTGTAAACCAGTTGCTCTATTTGAGCAGGAAAAATTAAAAATTGTCAGCACAGAAAGTGTACAACCATGCAACTTTTAAAACGGGATTTTTCTACAGGTTTCTTAGAAAAATCCTGTTTTAAAGTGAATTGAAATACATTATATAATTAAAATAATTTTTGTTTAATAACATAAGGCTTATAACTAATATTTAATACTTAGTGATTGAGTTAATCTTTATTGAATTATTGAACTACAATGTCAAAAAGAAGCACAATGGTCAATGCCCAAAGAGAAGTACGTGGCATTAGCGCGAAAACATAAAACATCTTTGTTGTCATGTCGATCAGTCCCCCCCCCGCCAAAAAAAAAAAATTGCATCTGAAAACAGACTATAATATTACCTATACAATCCTATTGGCTATTTCTTAGTTTTCTCTTGACCATTATAATCATCATTACAGAAGATAGCTATACATCTACAACATAGCATTCCCCGTAAGAGTATTAGGCTAAGACAAAAGCTGGTTGAAAAAACCCAATGCGCAATGACAATGTTCAAGACGTAAAACTTCTAGAATTATACTTTCAGGCAGAAACCACTGTGTTATTGCTGCAATTAACACTCAAACAGATGAAAGTAAAACCAACCTTGATCCTTCAGATTCTGGTGTTGCCGTTGGGCTTCTAGGCTGTTCTGGCATTGCTGTGGATGTGCACTGGTTGTCAGGATTATTTACGTCATCTTCAATAATGAGTGTAGCCGGAGGTGTTGTAGCCTCCAAAGGTTTGGGCGCTTGGGGTTGGCAGTTTTTGTAAGAAATTCATTCGTGGCCCTATTGATGGAACTAACAATTCTATAATGCTCGTTCAGTGAGACCTATAAGGGCAGGTCCATCAATCATATTATCTAAAAAATAAATTGTTGTCATCTGAGACTGAACTCACAAAACTTAATTTTACCGAACAGCCAAACAGGCGACCAGCGAGGCAAACACCATAGTTTATATTTTGTAATAAACTTTAAAAGTAAATGTTACGTAAGTATGTGGGGAAATTTTCAGGTCGATATGATGTTATTTCGAGTCATTTATCAGGCCAAACACACACCGAAAAACGCGACGAGCACCCTGGCGTGGCGCGAGAGGAAATAGAACAATGAAGGAAAGTTAGAATATATGTAGACACAATAACCCAATATATTACAGCGTAACTAAATATTTTAAACAGGATGAACGTTACCTGTAAATTAAATCGAAAAACAGCGTCGCGTACTTGCAAAACGTGCATGTAGACGCCATAACTCTGTTTGTCGGCGACCAACTGAAAATATGATATCATGCGCTTTCAAATGAAAACATACCTTTAAAACACTGGCAATAGTCCTCGAAGCCAACTTTAATAAGCCACGATTGAACGTATTCTTTTGATTTTACCATCTTCAATACAATTGAACGATAATTCTTCAGTTTTGCTCTACGCAAAGGAGATAACTTGGCTGTCTTACTATACCGGCTGCACTGAATGATCGATAAAAAATATATAGGATGTAATTTGACTATGGCGCGTTAACCGCCTGTGTGGATTTTGCGGTCGATGATTGGTTACTCATGATGAAATGACGTTTTTAATAAAAACAATTTCGGCACTGTTCTAAATACAATGCCGAGCAGACAACTCCCACATCCTGTATGCATCCTGTTATAATTCTAAATCTCATTAGAGGATTAGTAGAGGATTAGTCATAAGTGTGACAAAATGTGGGTGTATATATTGCTAGATCCCGAAATAAATAAAAATGCAACAGATTTTGCTACCTTTAAAAGCAAGAATTATTGTAACGTAGGAGTATGACATTTACATAATTGCAAATAAAGTGCAAGACTATATTGAACTGGCCAAGATTTAGTGTCTTTTACGTGCCCTATAAAACTATTTTGCGAATCTGCTTCTAGTCTAGATTTCTAAATTCCCCCTAACTGGAAAACTACTCAGACTCAGTCTGGCAAATTGCGATCTGCAATATTTTTACTATTAGCCGCTTTCCAGTCATATATTACTCTTTAAGTTTAAATGTTACTAATTATAAAGCTAAGCTGATAACTGAACAAAATACACTATAAAGGTTAAAATGAATATGTAAGTAAATGTATGCGAGTAAATTATACTCATCATTAAGAGTAGAAAAGTTGGTCGGTTATTACTCAATATTTGAGGGCTTTTTTACTCAAAAAATTGAGTTGGTGAAGTTTACTCTACTCTTAAGTAAAAATAAATTTCGTCATTACTCAGAGCTGAGTAAAGTATACTCATTGTCTTGAGTGGTCAATACTCAAATGATCTTACTCAAAATACAGAGTTGTTGTTTACTCAATTTAAGAGTAAATTTCGTAATTTACGCAGCAGTGAGTAAATTACTCAATTTAAGAGTAAATTTTGTCGTTTACCCAGCAGTGAGTAAATAATACTCATCGTCGTGAGTAGAGTTGTTCGTCAGTTTTTACTCAAAATTTGAGTAATTTTTTTGTTTACTCAAAAAAGAGTAAAAAAAATGCTTTTACTCAAACAATTGAGTTGGTGATGTTTACTCCACTTTTGAGTAAAATTAATTTCGTCATTTACTCAGTGCTGAGTAAATTATACTCATTGTCTTGAGTGATAGTTACTCAAATTATTTTACTCAAAATACAGAGTTGTTGTTTACACAAGTTTAAGAGTAAAAGTATTTTAACATAAAGAAGGAGTAACATTTACTCAAATTATTGAGTAATTGTTGCAATAACTCATAAAATGAGTAACATTTACTCATGCATTTTTTGCAGTACATACATATATATATATATATATATATATATATATATATATATATATATATATATATATATATATATATATATATATATATATATATATATATATATATATATATATATATGTATATATATTGATAATTTTGTAATTTTAAAAAAGAGATATTTTTAGGCGATTTTTCATTTGTAAGAATATTCTTAAAAAATTATCGTGTTACCATGACAATAACATTGGATACTTCATGTCCGGAAAATACAATGGTTTTTTCAGCAAGGCGAGGGTTTCTGCATGCATGTATTTTCTAGTTCCCTTCGGCTATTTACACCCGGGGAAACGAAAGCATTAGCGAAGTCTAAAGTTCATCAATAATCGCGGGCGTGGGTCACCAACGATGGGTGGTCATCCTCACTGATCTCAAAAATATGGCGGACTGTCATGAATAGCGGACACTGATTGGTCCAACTTAAAGTTTGCATTATAACGACTGCATGGCGACAGCGAAATAGCAAACATTTCTTGATTTGATGATCCATAAATTTCTTGCAAATATATTTCATATTTGCTCGCATTTTTGCAAGATTTTGTAAATTTCAAAAGCTTTCTTAGCAAGAAAGGGCGAAAGAATCGGCTAAAAGAAGGGAGCCGATGTTAACGAAGGTAAGTTTGTTTTAAATATTGATTTCATGATTGCTTTAAAACCCGACGGCCTTTGCGTATATGAAACAACTAAAGAAGACAGCATATAATTCCAGTGCATCTTTAATCAAAGTTATGTACATGCGAGACATTTGAAATCATTTTATTGCAAACTCAAAGTTTATCGATAAAGCCATTTAATTAAAGGCAGTTCAGTTTACTGTTTAGTTTTATAAAGAACACTAGTGATTTTAAAACGTTTTGCGAAGCATTCGTGGTTGAATTTTACCTTCAATTGAAGCTTATATTATGTATAATAACATGCCTAACATATATATGTTGGGAAATTGATAATTTTGTACTTAAAAGTGATATTTTAGGCGATTTTTCATTTGTAAGAATATTCTTAAAAAATTATCGTGTTACCATGACAACTATATACTTTAGTTACTTCATGTTCGGAAAATACAATGGTTTTGTCAGCAAGGCGAGGGTTTCTGCATGCATGTATTTTCTAGTAAATTTTGTATTTTTTATTTCTTTGAGTTTTGTTCCATGAGTTACCCATGAGTTACACAACCATTAATTCAAAGCAATTAGAGCTGTCAAATTATTACAATACGTTATAGCTAATTTGAATTTGAAAAGGTTCAGTTTTTTCTATACACACCGTACATAAATGATAATGGCGATAATGAGTCGACATGAATATACATAACTCAAGCGGCAAGAGCTACTTATAATTGGACCGCAGAAATACTGTGCCAAAAAGTTGCAAGCCTTATTAAAAAAATTATTTTCAATATATTATAATATTATAAATTCCTATTACTTTGCGGTATATTCGTTTCAATGCGCCTTTCACTAGGTAAATACAACCTATAATCTCCATATTGAATATAAACTGTTTTTAATGTATTCAATCGACGAGTTCCGACATAACGTATATTAGTAAATGGATGCTGACGTTTTATACGTGCAATCTTGTCAACGCCGACAAATTAATTCAATATTGATCAGATCATTGTTAGCTTCATTCAAGATATAAAGGTTCTCAAAAATACTTCATTATCACATGCATTTAATCTATTATAACAGGTGAATGAAAAGTGATGCTTTATATTTTTAGGAATATTGGCCTGGTTTATGTTGCTGCCATGCACCCTGCATTTTAATTTATTCTTGTAGTGCGGTATAATTTTTTATTTTGTACAGTTGAAAATATAAACATAGATAAAAACTATTGAAGAAATCAGTGCTTCCATTTTCAAAATCAAAATTTCTCATTTTTGTCATGAAAATTTCTCTAAATTCCTTAGATTGTATACGTTATTTCCTTGAAATTTCCTTGAAATTTTGTTAAGCAGTTTGCAGTGATTTTGTAGCAATACAAATGATTTAATTAATTTTAAAGGCACAAAATAGCAAAATTAACACAGATGTGGGCTAGCTAAAAAACACAGGCTATTATACTATTTAAATATTAAATATTTGTTATGAGTTTACAACATATACGTTTCCACTGATATAATTAATTAACTATTCAAAGTGTTTGGCGCCAGAAGTTACTAAATCCCATCGCTCAAAAACTTTCCTACGTTTTCGGAGACACGAAGAAAAAGTTATAAACAGATTTTTAATTAAACGTAATTGATAATTCACTCAATAATAAAAAAAATGGTGAAACCTTCTTCTGCACCAATGCACTTGGATGAATATTTAAGTTTTTCGGAAAAATCCTTAGATTTCCTTAGATTTTTTCTCTTCCTTAGATTTTCCTTTTCGACCATATAATTTCCTTAGAAAAGGAAATTTCCTTGAAAATGGAAGCACTGGAAGAAATCACCAAGCAAATATTTCACTAAATATGTACTTTGACAGATTTGTTTAGCAACCATTGTTGTGAGCATGCAAGTCCCATGCAAGCAACTTTTTTTAATTTGAATTCTCAAATTTTGCCATTTACAACATCGCGCAATGTAATTTAGTGAACTTCTAATTCAATTTAACGACACTGCCATTTTCACTCGATCGCTTTGGGTTCATTCAAATTTCTTAAAATATCTTAATTTTTTTTAATGCTGCAGATTTGGATGTTAAATGTCTTCCTTGCACATATTTCAAGAAAGTGGAAATTAAATCTTTCCTTTATGAATGAAGAGATTGTCAAAATCTCAACACATTCTAATTATTATCAACATAGTAGCATTAGTATGATTTTGGTGTAAAAACTGCGGAATAATTATGTTATTTCACTTTTCTCTAGAAAGTGTTTTACTGCTTACTCCCAAAGCCACATGCATCCATGGATTTTTGCGAACACGTTTACCGTAGTTAAAACACGATCTTCAATTGCGTTTTGAAATTCAATCTTTCTTAGTAAGTATAATTTTTCACGATAAATTTTGACGAAAGTGTGCACAATACAATTTATTGTAAAAGGAAGAAATAACTTGATCGTTGTATAATCTTCAACTGTTCAATGCGCCATTAAAAACCTGTATTAAGAACGGTTATATTTTGGCTTAAAGTGATGAGAGAAGAATAAAATACAATGTAGAGGTACTAAAGTTATGTCTTACGTACCATAGCGAGTTAGTTTTTTTAATGATTTTCGATGTTTATGTACGAGTTTTTGCGTCATTAAGTTTTTGTATACAGTTTTAAATTTGTATTTTCTGGCCAACCTTGGGGATATATTTTACATAACGACGCAACGCTATTGTGATGTTACACGTACTTCATGTAATATAGCCTGATAACAAACCTACGTTTCGCTCGCCCTAAAATTCGCGGGTCGACGAAGGGCGAATCCATAGACTTAGTACACGGTAAATTCCTGCTGCAGTTTTAGCCGCTTGCCGAAAATATGCATTGTAATTTCATTTTAGTTAGTATATGCAAGGTTATAGAAAATTGTGCTGGTTTTTTTCTGCCCGTAGTCACAGAATAAGGAATAGAACCAGAAGGGACACTCCTTTGATGTTAGGCGGTCGCGCCGACATAGCGGCGAGAGAGCGGCATAGCGCGAGAGAGCGGCGGCTGTAAAAAACATTAGACAATTATTGAGACAGACTTCAGACAATTATTGAGATCAGAAGTAGTCATTAGTCCATACAATTATAGAGATCAGATACTTAGCTCTTAGTTCTCTCTGTAAACACGAGATTGGGAATACATCGAGATACAGTTAATATCGAAGCATTTGTGAGCGAGATTATTTACATATTAACAGAAAACAGTCTTCGTTTTCGACACGTGGCACCTCCGACGCGACGAGAGGTTTTACCTGGAACAATTGTGTGAGTTTATTATTTACGTGATTTAAAGCAAAACTGCGAAAATACAGCATGGAAAAAGCGATCGCTGAGTTAAGCAGTAAAATCAAAATATTGAACTTTAGACTAGCGAAAACCGACGAATTAATTGAGAAATCTGATAAAGAAGCATTAACGCGACACAAGGCATCAATAGATAACAGTACCTCTACGGTTAATACATTAAAAGAAACAGTCGAAGAGAAAAAATTTGCTAAAGGCGAGACTAAGGAAAACGTGCAAGAATGGAGCGCTGAAATCGAGGAAAATTTGGCGGAAGCGGATCGACAAATAAGACGAATCGACAAAAAGTCCGAAGAAATGGTGGCTGGAGAAAAAGACAGAATAAATCGTTTGGAGTTCATGCAAAAGCTAGAATATGAAAAACTATTAACAGAACAAAAGCTACCACAAGAACAAGAAGCAACTGAGAAATTACACGCAGAGAAATTATCCTATGAAAGAGAAAAGAGAAAGCTAGATCTGGAATATCAACAACAGTTGTCCAAGAATAAGCAGTCGGCATCTGAGTCAACATTTTCACAAGGTACTGTAAAAATGCCAAAGTTAGTTATATCCAAGTTCTTGGGGACACCCCAAGATTGGGTGCGATTTTGGGGACAGTTCGAGGCGCAGATTCATAAGGCCGAGGCACCCGCTGTGACCAAGTTTTCCTACTTAAAGGAACTCGTCGAGCCGAGAGTTAGTAAGTTCATTGATGGGCTCCCATTTACTGATGCAGGTTATGGGAAAGCAATATCTTTGCTGCAAAAACGCTAAGGACGGCCTGCTGAGGTAGTCGATGCCTATGTTAAGAACATTCTTGAACTACCCCATATCAAAGAAAGAGATGTAGCTAGAATACATGAGTTTTACGATTTCTTGCTGTTCAATGTTGAGTCCTTGCAAACCTTAGAGAAGCTTAATGAACTTGATGCAGCTGTTAGATTTACGCTTGACAAACTTAGTGTTATAAAACATGAGCTTGTTATACTCGACGAGAACTGGAGTGAGTGGAATTTCAGGAAATTCACAGACGTTTTAGGGACATGGACTGTCAACAATCCTTTGCCAACCGGAAGTAAATCTCGAAAGGAGCGGTTGCATGCATTGAATTCAAGAAATGGAGATAGGGCACCTGTTCGTGTGTGTTGTTATTGCGAAAGTAGGAACCATAAAGCCATTAACTGTGATAAAGTGAAAGATGTTGGAAAAAGGAAGAAGATCTTAGCTGCCAAAAGGTTATGCTTCAATTGTACCGGTTCCAAGCACAGGGCATCAGAATGTAAAAGCCCCATTTGTTGTCGTAATTGTGAGCGGAAACACCACACATCCTTGTGTGATAAACCACCCAAGCAATCTGAGACCCGTGAGCCTGGTATGACCGCTAGCCAGATCGGACAGTCGTCGGTTATCCACTCTGTAGTAGTAGTTAAAGTCGATGGGCTTAAATTCCGTGCCCTTTTGGACTCTGGAGCAAGCCATTGCTATGTGTCGTCCAAGTTTGTGAGTCTTGATAAACCTGAGCAGAAAACTTCAAGTGTGCGACAGATTGCTATGCTAATGGGAGTAACGACGAAGAAATTGAAAACTTATGATGTTGACATTCATTCGGTGAATGGTGCTTTTAGTCTTTATGCTACGGTTACTGAGATTGCAAAACCAGAGCTCCTCACCTTAGATAACCCCCACTATGACGAAGTGATTGAACAGCATTCACATTTACAGGGTGTGAGTATGGATGATACAGACGAGAAGGCCCAATTACCAGTCCACATAATATTGGGAGCTAACGATTTCGCTAGGATTCGAACTGGTGAATATCTTCGTGTGGGTTAGCATGGTGATCCGGTGAGTAGTGAAGCCCCCCACTATGGGGACGGAAGTAATTAGTATTCAAACTTAGGTGCCGGAAGTAATTAGTATGCAAAACTATGACGTCACTTTGTTCGGCTAACACTCTGGCGGAATTTATAATGAGCTTCCAAAATCTATGACATCAGGTAGCGCGACTAATTAACGCGGGCAAGCCTGGGCCAAATGTGGCAGGCGATCAATTAGCATTACAACTAGTTTCTGACAAAGTTGTAATGAAACGACAAGAGGTTTCTCATAGTTTGTATGTATAAAAGTATGAAATAGAAGTTAGTTCTTAAAACCTACCGTTAGCTCAGTTGGTAGAGCAAAGGACTGTAGTTATTACCAAATCAATATTCCTTAGGTCACTGGTTCGAACCCGGTACGGTAGAATTTTTTTTTGCCTTACAACCATGTAACAACGTTGTGAGTCCCTCTCTTATTTTCAACAGGCAATTGAAATTCGTTTTATTTTGTAATGTAAGTTTCCAAACAGAAATAAAAAATATCGCAACAGAAATAAGCAGTTGCTAATCCCGGGTTGTCAAAGCCGTTGTTATGATCGCTATTTGCATGTTGTTCAACATTATTTAGCAATCCTACATACATATATACGGTCAAGATGACCGAGTCAGATAGAATACTTGAAGGAAAAAACCTGTAGAACAATTTAACAGTCTTAGTTGTAATATTTTTTGTCTATTATTTGTATTAAGAAACATGTTTTAAACTTTGCTGCGTTGTTATGTGTTGCTAAGTTGTCAGGTGCCGTGTAGGTAATTAAGGGATTAGGCGAACAAAAAAATTGCATAACTAAGTGTATCCCAATGAATAGATAGGGATATAATTACGTGTTTGGTGTAAGCATAGTTTATTTGATTTTTATGTCAAGGAACTTGTAATGCCTTGGTGGCCGAATGGTATGGCATTAGGGTTTGTCCCAAAATAAGAGGGTCCGAGTCCCTCACATTTTTATCGAGTTATACCCATCTCGGAAGAGATAAGTCGCGTATAGCAGATAGATTTATAACGCAGGTGTATGCCTTAATATCAGGAGCGGGGCTTTGCGGGCAAAAACTTACACAAGATTTCAGTGTTAAAACAGATTTATTTCTTTAATATGTTTTACAAAATTTAGTAAGGTCTACTTCTAAGAGCGTAACGTTTAGGTGTTTTTGTTATTTTTAAAGAGTTCTCATATTCTTGTCTATCTTCTGGGGATAACTTTGCACGTTTTTCCGGCTTCATTGGAATATGTTTTGGTCGGTCGCTCAATATAAAACGTTCATAATCCTCTCTTGCTTTCGGAGTCATTCGTGCTAGGTTACTCGGTTCGGTCCAATCTGCTGGGTCGACCCAATTATGGAAAAAGTTGCGCTTGAGTTTTGGTCGTTCCTCTTGTGTTGGTGGTGGTGTAAGGAAATTAGGTTTAAGAATAGCAGGCACTTGTGGTAGTATTTCTGCTAATACAGGAATAGGAGGCACTTGTGGTGGTATTTCTTGTGCCATCTCTGCAGGCGCTTGTGGGATACTTTGAGCAGGAAATCCTGGAGAAGAACGAGCCATCTTATCTTTCAATATGAGAAATCGGTTTAGTTGATCAAAATATAATTTGCTTTTTTCCACTGCGCTAAGTTGTGGTGCATCCATGATTTCTTTCATTTGCTGCTCGGCATCATACATGGCATTTAGAAGCGGTGGTTGTTGATACGATTGTTTTTGTATAAACCTTGCAATCTCGCCGGGAAGTATATTCGTCTTAAGTCGATCTTCATCACTCGTTGTTGGTTTTAAATTCAACATCAAATAACCATGAGGGCGGCTCGTAGCATCTTCATAACTCCTCATAAATTCTTGTACTTTTCCAGGATCTACTTGCCTTGTAAGCGTAGAAATTTGCTGTTTATCTCTTGGTGACTTGAACAGCACAATATAATGGACGTTTAGACTGATATTTCTCATTTCTTTGCTTTGATGGAATATATTTTGAACAATATAGATGATAGATAAATTCCGATGATGACTTCCTTTCGTAAAAAGATCAGCTGTACGTTGGTCTTTACTAGATTGTGCCTTAAGATCATCCAATACGATCGAATTTCGTTGCGATACATCCAAGTAATCTCCGTTGTCGATATCGTCGGGAATGCCTTTATTGAACTCGATTCCAGGCATCGTCCCCAACATATCAAAGTATGATGGTTGCCATTGACCATAACACCAGATGATACGTTGAGGAGGTGGACTTATAGTTTTCTGTGCGTTCTCCAGGAGAGATTTCACCCATACAGTCTTGCCGCTTTGTGTACACCCGGCTACGATACACGTAAAAAGATGCTGCAAAACTGCAGATCCATTAGTCGTCATGCGAATGTTGTCGGTTGGTTTTTGATCATGCACTTTTTGTTTGTGTGGATTTAAATTGAACGGTTTAGAGAAATATTTTCCACAGATATGACATTAATGAGACATGTTTACTCTATGACGAATAGTTAGAAAATAAATCTTTCAAATATCAACCGAGTCTATATAACTAGTAAGTATGTCGTAGTCAACTCCCTAGTCTCGGACCCAAGCTACTTAGGCTCGGAGCCGAGCTCCTTAGGCTCGGAGACGAGCTTTTTAGGCTCGGAGTCAGCTCTTCTGGCTTGGAGCCGAGCTGCTTAGACTTGGAGCCGAGCTCCTTAGGCTCGAGCTCGGAACCAGTTCCTTAGGCTTGGAACCGAACTCTTTAAGCTTGGAGCCAGCTCCTTAGGCTCGAAGCAGAGCTCCTTAGGCTCGGAGCCTTATCCCATACCTGTGTTAAAAGCGGCTTTCTGATTGGTTTAGAGCAGGTGAGGTTGTCGTCGAGCTCACCTGCTTTTTGCCGAACTCACCTGCTTTTCGCCCGAGCTCACCCGCTAAACTGCTCACGTTGCAATAACAATAACAAATATGGCGGACAAGATTTAGCCGATAAACCTAAACTTTAAAGAACTTTTTTCGGTGACTAACATACTGAGACTGAAGAAAAACCAAAGAAAAAATGCAATAAAGGTAATGTAGACGTAGATAAAGAAGTATTTTCTTGCCCAGTGATTTTTTTGGCCGGGAAAATGTTCACAAAACATCGACGAATATATCGCGAAGAACTACAAATGTGTGTATGGCTCAGTGTATGGGATAAAAACCAAACGTACTTGCAGGTTCGGTGAGTCCGGGATTGGACGCACCTCGGGTGGCTGGAAGTTTCCCGAACTTACCTCGCTTCGCTCGGTAAGTTCGGGAAACTTCCAGCCACCCTCGGTGCGTCCAATCCCGGACTCACCTCCCTGCAAGTACGTTTGTTATAGAGCTCCTTAGGCTCAGAGCCGAGCTCCTTAGGCTCGGAGCCGAGCTCCTTAGGCTCGGAGCCGAGCTCCTTAGGCTCGGAGTCAGCTCCTTAGGCTCGGAGCCAGCTCCGAGCTCCTTAGACTCGGAGCCTTGTCTAAATTGCTTTCTCTCTTCCGATATAAGCTTCCTTATTGTTGTGTTTTGCTCATTTGCTTCCAAACCGTCGAACAGAAATGATCAGTCTTCTAAGGCACAAGCCATATCTTGAATTGTTGGGCACGTCCGAGCCTGTTCAACAAAAAGCACTACTGGAAACAGCAAGCGCCGAACAAGTACACTGCCTGTGTCTCTGTGTAGAAAACGTTATGAAAAGAAAATATTTAATTTAATGCCGAAGCATGTGATGAAGAAACTCCGACCTTACAAAAATGAAATGCTTAGCTTGGCAGATGAAAATGTGGAAGAAAAAAAACGGATACTCGTTCAACGTGGTGAAGGTTTCCTTGGACTGTTACTAAGTCCTATTTTGGAAAGCCTGACTGAACTTGTATAAAAGCCCTGTGATTACAATTTATACATAATTTCAACAATGAACATCGAGAGTAAACAATAATGTCAAAAAGCTACAGCAGAAAAAAATTCTACGTTCTATTCTTATATTAAGTGATATATTAACTTGGAATCCTCAGGGGGAGATTGTTTATCATGGAAGAGACATTGCTGGTACTAACATCGAGAACCTTTTACAATACGCACTTTTACCCTACAACTCTCACATTCCTGAACCACGAGGGCTTGACCTGTTTACAAAAGGTTTAGTAGAAGCAGGGGTTAATAAAGATTTAATTAAAAATAAGTATTTATTGTCCAAAATGGCAAAGGAGGAACATGAAATGCCACAATCAGAAAGTGATGTTGAAAGCGAATCTGGTGAAGAGAACAGGGAATCTGACAAGAGTAATAATGAAAGCGAATATGATGATAATGAGGATGATGATAATAAGGATGATGGTGAGCCCAAGAAACTAGCTTGTAACCATTGTGGTAGAGAGACTGGTCACATTGTATACTTAATGAAGTGCCCAAGATGTTCGTGGAAAGATTTCTACTGGGGCAAAGACGCTCAATGTATGATATGTGATGAACAGTCACCTCTACTGTTTTCGCATGTCATTGGTTTCTGCGAGCTATGTTCGTATGGTACGTCTAACACCAAGACGGGTGGAGTGGAGTTCACACCAAAAATGGACAAATAAAATATCCAGCAGATTGGACCGAACGTGACCTAGCAAAATGACTCCGGAAGCAAGAGAGGATTATGAACGTTTTATATTGAGCGACCGACCAAAATATATTCCAATGAAGCCGGAAAAACTTGCAAAGTTATCCCCAGAAGATAGACAAGAATATGAGAACTCTTTAAAAATAACAAAATCACCTAAACGTTACGCTCTTAGAAGTAGACCTTACTAAATTTTGTAAAACATTTTAAAGAAATAAATCTGTTTTGGCACTGAAATCTTGTGTAAGTTTTTGCCCGCAAAGCCCCGCTTCTGATTTTAAGGCATATACACCTGCGTTATAAATATATCTGCTATACGCGACTTATTTCTTCCGAGATGGGTATAACTCGATAAAAATTTCGCCATGTGAGGGACTCAAACCCTCTTATTTTGGGACAAACCCTAATGCCATACCATTCGGCCACCAAGGCATTACAAGTTCCTTGACATAAAAATCAAATAAACTATGCTTACACCAAACACGTAATTATATCCCTATCTATCCATTGGGATACACTTAGTTATGCAAATTTTTTGTTCGCCTAATCCTTTAATTACCTACATGGCGCCTGATAACTTAGCAACACATAACAACACAGCAAAGTTTAAAACATGTTTCTTGATACCAACCTCGTACCCAGGGCATTTTGCTTCTGATCAGCGAAAATGGCCCTGGCATCGGCCGGTCACATGATCTCAAAATCTCCAGTATTTGGGGTGTTCAATTATGATAATTTATGCGTATAAGTACGTATATAGAATAATTATACACATTGTAATTACTACAGGAGTAAACAAACTCAATGCTGCGTATATAATCAAAGAGAAAGCAACAAAATTAGTTGACTTTATTCGGTTTTCGTTGTCCACGCTTCATTCAGCAACATAGCCCGTAATATTGATGACTTTTAAACATAATTTAATAAGTAACTAAACAAAACAAGGTTTGGTTTATATAAATCGTGTTTAGTATGAGAAAAAAAACCATTTGTATCACAATCTTTATTTGACTATAACGCTGTACGTTTCTTGAAATCAACGATGTGTAAACAACGCATGTGAGAAATATATGTTGAACCGAAGCAAATACTCGTCTATACAAAATATACAAAGACTTAATTTGGACCAAATTGTTTTGTGTTGTCTTTCCCTAATTCATGCTGTATCTCAAGCGAAATTTAATGTCAAAAATCTTATTTGCTCAATACTTTAGTCCTTCAAGAACTAATTATAAATTTGTCACTCCACTCTCGTTCCACCAAAATAATAATTATTCCCGCATATATTGAATAATTACATTCAAAATCATTGACCAATCAGGTTGCAAAACAGACCAGCCGAAGCCAGGGCCTTTTTCACTGACCATCCAACCGCGGAAGCAAAAAGCCCTGGGTACGAGGTTGTCTTGATACAAATAATAGACAAAAAATATTACAACTAAGACTGTTAAATTGTTCTACAGGTTTTTTCCTTCAAGTATTCTATCTGACTCGGTCATCTTGGCCGTATATATGTATGTAGGATTGCTAAATAATGTTGAACAACATGCATTGCCAAATAGCGATCATAACAACGGCTTTGACAACCCGGGATTAGCAACTGCTTATTTCTGTTGCGATATTTTTTATTTCTGTTTGGAAACTTATTGCTAAAAACGAGCCATCAAATTCATTAAAAAATAAAACGAGTTTCAATTGCCTGTTGAAAATAAGAGAGGGACTCACAACGTTGTTACATGGTTATAAGGCAAAAAAAAATTTCTACCGTACCGGGTTCGAACCGGTGACCTAAGGAATACTGATTTGGTAATAACTACAGTCCTTTGCTCTACCAACTGAGCTAATGGTAGGTTTTAAAAACTAACTTCTATTTCATACTTTTATACATACAAACTATGAGAAATCTCTTGTCGTTTCATTGTCAGAAACTAGTTGTAATGCTAATTGATCGCCTGCCACATTTGGCCCAGGCTTGCCCGCGTTAATTTGGTCGCGCTACCTGATGTCATAGATTTTGGAAGCTCATTATAAATTCCGCCGGAGTGTTAGCCGAACAAAGTGACGTCATAGTTTTGCATACTAATTACTTCCGGCACCTACGTTTGAATACTAATTACTTCCGTCCCCATAGTGGGGGGATTCACTACTCCGGTGGCAGAACACACGACTTTCGGTTGGACTGTGATGTCTCCAGGAGCCAACAGTGGCATGTCTCAAGCCTACTTGGCAGTCAACTCGTCCACAGATTTTGCCTTTGTGTGTTAGCCGTCCCCTATAGGTCTGCCAGATACTCCTGCTGGTGACCAAGGTGATGTATATTCTGAATTTAAGGAACAGCTCACGAGAACGTCGGAGGGATGGTATGAGACGGCTCTTCCTTGGAAGGGGAATCATCCTGAGTTACCAAACAATTATGATGGAAGCATACGTCGCTTGAATTCATTAACCCGCAAGTTGCGTCGATCCAATATGTTACAAGACTACGACCGCATCATTCGAGACCAGTTAGCAAATACAATTGTCGAGATTGCACCTGAACTTCCGAGTGACAAGGAGTTCTACATCCCTCACCTTCCTGTTGTGAAAGAGATTTCCCAAACAACCAAACTGCGTATAGTCTATGATGCGTCAGCTCGTGCTCCACCTGACGCACCATCCTACATGCAGGTCCTCCACTCCAAAACGAATTATGGAGTGTATTGGTGAGAAATCGGCTACATCCAGTCGCCTTGGCAGGCGACTTACGTCAAGCCTTCCTTCAAATCAGAATCCGGGAATCAGAACGTGATGCCCTACGTTTTCATTGGTTGGTGGATTTGGGCTCAACCGAAGTAGCTACCCCACGTTTCACTCGAGCACCATTCGGGTTATCACCCTCTCCTTTCCTCCTGAACGGTGTTATCAAACAGCATTTGGAACTGTGGCGTGATCAGTTACCAGACGTTGTCGATGAAGTCTCAAAGAGCATGTATGTTGACGATTTCATTTCCGGTGCCTCCACTGTTGCTGATGCAAAAAAGCTAAAAAGTGAAACATCCCAAATTTTCGAAGACGCTCAGTTTGATCTACACAAGTGGAACTCTAACGTGGAAGAGCTAGAGCATTACGATCATAGTGACGGTGAAGAGTCATTTGCCAAACAACAACTGGGACCACTTGGTTGCGGTGTGGAAAGTAAGCTGTTCGGTCTTCCATGGAACAAGAGAGAAGACACCTTATCTGTTATTTTCCCTAGTAAATCGAGTGACATGACAAAGCGTGGGATCTTGTCAGCATTAGCGAATGTGTATGATCCGTTGGTGTTAGTATCGCCAACCATGTTAGAAGGCAAGTTGCTCTACCGTGAAGCTTGCAAACAAAAGACTGCATGGGATGCTACCCTACCAACTGAAGTTACAGAGCTTTGGATGAAGTTTGAAAGCAAGCTGTCAAGTTCCGTTTCAACGCAACGATCCCTTGCTACGTCCCAAGAGCCATTGGACGAAGTAAAAATCCACGCGTTTGGTGATGCTAGTGGAAAGGGAGTCAGTGCCCTAGTGTATGCAATGGTTTCACAAAGATCCGGTACAACGCAAGGTCTTTTGACAGCCAAGTCTCGTGTTGCGAAGCCGGGACTCACTATTCCACGCCTTGAACTTATCGTGGGTCATATGGCTGTGAATCTTGCTGTAAACGTACGTCGTTCCTTAGCTGGCCTTTCTATCGACCCCATGATCCACTGCTGGTTGGACAGTACAGTGGCGTTACATTGGATAAACAATCAAGGTGATTATCGACAATTTGTCGCGAATCGCGTTAGCAAGATACAGAATCATCCTGATGTTACCTGGAGGCACGTACCCACCTCCGACAATCCAGCGGACATTGGCAGCCGAGGGGGAAGTGTGATTGATTCTGAGATGTGGTGGAAGGGTCCTACTTGGCTGGCCAATCCCCAAGAATGGCCCCCTAACATTGTCACACAACCGAGTCCTGAAAGTCGATGAGACCTGAAGGTTCAACGAGAACTTTTCGCTGGAGCAGTGGAAGTAAGAGACGACTTCTACTTGATCCTTGAAAAGTTCGGCTTGAGTAGAGCCATGAGGATTTGTGCTTGGGTCTCGCGGTTCATGCACAATTCTCGACACCCTACGAGCAAAATCTGGGGCCTCTTAACGACGACAGAGATATCACGTCAGGAAGACTTTTGGATCAAGAGAGCACAAAAGGAAGGAATGAGCGACCCTAAGTTCGAAGAAAATCGTGCCCAATTGAACTTGGTCAATAATTCTGATGAGATCCTCGTATGCAAAGGACGTCTTGTAGGAGAGTATCCCGTGTTCATTTCGGACTCGACCTTACTTGCAGAAAAATTAGTGGCGTAAGCCCACAAAACGTTACATGGTGGAATCATCTTGACTATGGCTGAGATTCGACAAAAATTTTGGATTCCCCGACTACGCAAGCTGACGAAACGTGTACTTAAGTCTTGTTGAGGTTGTAAAAGATTCCGTGCAACACCTTTTCCTAACCCACCTATAGCACCACTACCCACAGATCGCTCAAAAGGAAGCACTGCCTTTGATGTCATTGGTGTTGATTTTGCTGGGCCCATAACATATCGTAGACAACGAAACAAGGAAGACAAAGCTTATGTGGTCCTGTATTCATGTAGCCTCAGCCGCGCTGTGTTCCTTGAATTACTGAGCTCCTTAGAAGTTGGTGAATTTATTCAAAGTTTAAAGGGAGACGTGGCAGACCCTCCAAGATTTATTCCGATAACGCCAAAACCTTTGTCGCAGCTGCTAAATGGGTAGAAAAGATCCAGAGAGATGAGAGTTTCAACGAGTTTCTTGTGGGACATTCAATAGTTTGGCAGTTTAACCTCAACCGCGCCACGTGGTGGGGCGGCCAATTTTGACGGCTGATTGGCCTAATGAAATCCGCTTTCTACAAAGTCGTTGGACAAGGTTTACTCTCATGGGCAGAATTAACCGAAGTACTTCTTGATGTAGAGGTCACCCTCAACAACAGACCGCTAACTTATATGGAGGAAGACATCCAGTTATCCTCGCTAACACCCAATTCGTTGCTATTCCTCAATACCAACATCTTACCCGAGTTAGCGCCCTAAACAGGTTTTGTGTCAGGCCCTATCTAAAATTAGGGCCTGAACTTCAGGTTAAGTTAGCATGTTCTCATAGGTTGATATACTAGAAATTAATATCGCAAGGAAAGTGCTGCCTCCACCCCCTTCCATCACATAAACACGAAAAGCACCCCTAAGACACCTGTTCAGGTGGTAAAAAAAGTGCAATCTAAATATGAAAACACTTTGCACAAAATCGAAACTCAGCTAAATATTCCAATTGTATTGACTTCCACAAATTCCCTGCTCTTCAAGAAATTACTTCCTTGAAAATTCCTTCGTACTAAACAAAGATGAATGACTTTGTGAAAGTCTACAGGTCATGCTATGCAAGTTTTTAATGATTTGCATTATTCAAATTGATGCATGAGGTTTATTGGCATATCATAACCAGTTGCCATGGCTAGCTTGCCACTGAATACTGTACAGTATCATATATAACAAATGATAATAATTGATACTTAAAGTAATCATTTGATATGTAGAATTTAATAACAATTTCATACATAGAAATACTACCAGTAAGTCAGTTTTTGCCTCAATTATCATTTTAATGGTACTTTCAAAACTACCACTACCGCAGAACAACAGAACAATCTGCCGATGGGAAGACAAAATCTATTTTGTTGACATTTTTGTTTAATACGTCAGCTTCATATGACACCATTCATTGTGTAAATTATTAAGATTGCAATTGTTTAATACGTCAGCTTCATATGACACCATTCTTTTTATAAATGATTAAGATTGCACTAAGTCAGAACTGTAAAACCATATAATAAGAAATAAATTGTGAGCATTATGGAAAAAAGTCAAATAATTTTTTATTCGTGTACAATTGTGTGTTACAATTTGGACATCATACTGCTCATTTGACCTTAAGCATAATGATGTCACAAGGCTTGATGCCTGCGAGGAATGCTGGTCTTAAGCTATGGGCAAACTAGGAAACGTTGCGGAAATATTTGTGATTCTCGATGTTTCCTCAGACGTTTCCCTGTTCGCCCACCCTGTTCGTCTACGCCTGTTCGTTTGCAACAACGTTTCCTAGTTTGCCCAGGACTTTAGTAGTAATCGCCCAGGAAAATTAAACAATCCAAAATGGCCACTATCGAAATTTTCCCGGCCATCAAGCCTTAAGACGTCATTATGCATAAGGTGTATTGATTTGATATACAGACATTACAGTAAAGCCTTGCCCACGCACGAAAGAACCAGTAGGTTAAGAACCACTAGCCTGAAATTTGGGCAATTGAGCACCCAAAACACAATGTGTTGAATATAAAAAAGTGTAGTGTGAAGTAAGAGAATATACGAACCACTTCAGCCTGAAGTCAAAATTCACTGGTTCTTTTATACACGGCTTAATTACTGCATATCATATTCCCATAATTAAATAATAACAATATCAGTAATCATTTTACTGTAATATAATAAATATATATAGCTATTTTTATTGGCAATTTTCTAATTTACATACAACCTACATATTTGTAAAATTTGATATACATGCAATACCTTGTTGGCTTGATCTTTTGACAGAATCAGTATACAAGTAATACAACTTTAATATTGCCAACCGTCGACGATTGCCCAGGTAGCATTAGCAAGATCACAACCTCGCTAGTATAAAGTATAAAATATAGCTAGTTCACACACAGGCGGCCCAATCTCAGAATGAATGATCAGGTGTTGCGGGTTTTTAACGGTTTTTATAAACAAATTTATAGTCAACCAAAACTATTTTAAAAACATTCTTAAATTAGTCAAATAAATACATTTTAACAATAAAATATAGTTGACATGATAGTGTAATACCTTTGCATTCTTTTAATTACTCCATGAGCTCATTTAGAGCGGTTGATGTAACATTTTCTGTGGCGTACATTGTGTGTGCTCATCTATATATAATATAACAGTAAAAGGCTAATCACTGGCGGCACGACCGCATCGCCTTCAAAGTCAAATATCTCCGCTCAAACTTCTCGTACGCCAAAACAAATTCGATTACATCTTTTCGCAAAGATTTCTCTTTTTAAATAATATGGTTTGATCATAGCTTGGGCAAATTTAGCGACGAACGGAACCAAAATCTCCTGAATTTCGGATACTGTTCAAAATACTTAGGGCTGCTCGGGCACGATCGTGGACGTGACGTAATCAATACATACTGGCAATAACGCCTTACGTGGGGTGGGACAGCATATCAAATTCGACGATAGTTTGTCGCTTTATGCTGTCCCACCCCACGTAAGGCGGTAAGGCGTTATTGCCAGTATGTATTGATTACGTCACGTCCACGATCGTGCCCGAGCAGCCCTAAGTATTTTGAACAGTATCCGAAATTGAGGAGATTTTGGTTCCGTTCGTCGCTAAATTTGCCCAAGCTACGATCAAACCATATTATTTAAAAAGAGAAATCTTTGCGAAAAGATGTAATCGAATTTGTTAACGTTTTGGCGTACGAGAAGTTTGAGCGGAGATATTTGACTTTGAAGGCGATGCGGTCGTGCCGCCAGTGATTAGCCTTTTACTGTTATATTATATATAGATGAGCACACACAATGTACGCCACAGAAAATGTTACATCAACCGCTCTAAATGAGCTCATGGAGTAATTAAAAGAATGCAAAGGTATTACACTATCATGTCAACTATATTTTATTGTTAAAATGTATTTATTTGACTAATTTAAGAATGTTTTTAAAATAGTTTTGGTTGACTATAAATTTGTTTATAAAAACCGTTAAAAACCCGCAACACCTGATCATTCATTCTGAGATTGGGCCGCCTGTGGTTCACACATAGCTAGCAAGTTTGGTACAGTTACAGCGAGTTCACAATTCACTGCTTTTTTAAAAACATAATATGAACGGCTCCTTTTGACTTGATTTGACCAAATGGGCCAAATGATCGCCACAAACACACAACAAAATATACACTTATTCGAATTTTTATAATGTATTTATAAAAACAGACTATCACGTTCATTTACATATATAAATGAAAGTATTCAAACGTTCAAATAACTATTTTTATCAACATACCTTCAAAAGTATACTATTCTTTTGATAGTTTTCCTCCAAAATCAAATAGTAATATTGTAAAATAAACCTCGTGCAATGGAAAAATATGCGACATTGCCATATGGTCATGTCAAAATTAAATGTCATAGATCCTATGAAGCTACGGCGCACCGAACGCAGCTTTCGGAAGTGATCGGATTGTCATCGTAAACTTCCTGCGTATATAAATTTGTACACAACGTCATTCGAATTCTGTGACGTCAGAAAATGCGACCCGAATGATCGAACGAACGACAAACAACTCTAAAATGCTTTGGCTAAAATAAGTCGCGTGGGGATCTGGCACGAGTAAAAACTGTAAACGTTGTCAAGAATAGGTGGCTGCCATCGCTTCGCTCGGCAGCAATAATTAACTAAGATTTCCGATTATACGCCACGCCTCCAAAAAACTTCTTATGCTAGGAGCGGTCATCTCATTGGACGATTCTAAATGTAATTGACGTTTCAGCAAGAATACTGGCAAAGGATTGGATAACTTTGATCTCTGACATCACTTTCCTGTGATAATGCTCGAAACCAAATACAGTACCGTTTCGTTCCTGCGGGAAACGAAACAAAAAAATCTGTATTTTATAAATTTATTAAACACACCTCTTTGGGCCGACGTGAACTTTGTCTGTTAATACAAAAGCAAGCAAATTTGTCTTGTAGATTTCAAATGAAAACATTCCTCTCCATTTCGCATTTCGAATAATAGACTCGGGATTACAAAATGCGAATATAAACTCTCCATCTAGTATTGCTTTCTCGTCCTCTTCGTTTGACAGTGAAGTAACACGGCATCCACGCTTTCTTAGTTCACGGACGTGAGAGTCAATGAAAGAGTTCAATTTGCAAATGACCATTAAGATGGGTTTCTCCAGAAAATTGTGGCTTTTGCCAAGTCGTCGTGCTACTCTCGGTGTTAGAACTTTGGAATATTAAACTCTTCCCATAAGGCCATATAAAATAAATTCCTTGATTCTCATCGCTAAATTTTAAAAACTCCCAGGAGGCGGGAGGTTTATATTTTATATTTTATGTCAAAATATAAAAAAAAAGTTTAAAATTTAAAAAATTGGAGAGGGAAGTCTTTTTATATTTGCCCTTAAATATATTATAGAAGAACGCTATATAAGCGGATAATTGCACATGCGCTAATGAACATGCATAAGGGTCCACACAAATCGTTGTAATAAGGCTATAAGCCCATTTTTTCTTTCAGTATTCCAAGCATCCCTTAACATGCTGCAATATTAACGGTAAAACAATTTAAAATCGCAAAAATTCCAATATAAAATATAAAAATAACTAAATCTCTGAAGATGCTCGGTCGGGCGGTAAATTTATGTTTTATAACTAGAAGTTACTAACGCAAGGAATTGCTGCCTCGCGGCCAAAACATTGGGTTAGGTTGTTAAAAATCTGTTTATAATCCGTGGATAATTCAAAACTAAATAACACTATAATGGAAACACAGCACTATTATAAATTTTAAACAATGAAAATCGTATTTTATTGTAAGAATCGCGTGCATATATGTTACAACAATATTCTAATTATCTAAAATTAAGAAAACAGTTCTCTGTAATGAAACAGGTCATTTTCTGAGCACTCCCAACAATAGTAGCTATAAAAATTAAGAAATATGGGTCATTCCACGGCTTATTTCTCCGACAATATATGTATAATGTGACCCGCAGGGCTACCTCCACACATTTAGCTATTTGTTATGGGATATCCACTAAGGTTAATGTCACTAATATTCTTAGACACAAAGACAAGTGTGGTCACTTCTTGAGTAATAACCTGGAATGGCTCACAGTTAATAACTGTATTAATAATGGATAAATATAATGCACAAGAGCCTAGGACTGTTAATACTATTAACAATGGAAATATAACATTATGTATACCATAACAACACTATTATACAAGGTGTCCCAAAAAACCCGAAAAACCATTGAAATAACGTATTGTTAAAATTTGAATGCCTTGCACTAAGCCCAACGCAAAGTGCCAAAAATGCGTAAAGTATTAACAAGGGTGCATATATTAAACATGGACTTATTAAGAAATTAAAATATCTTTGTAAAGCACACGATTTTCTGCTCTTGGGAATTTAAAAATGCTCCTCAAACGGGTTTTTTAGGCTATACGAGACTATACGACACTATACTGTACAGCGTTATACAAGACTATACGACACTATACAACACTATATAACGTTATACAAGACTATATAACAACATATAACAACATATAAAGGCTATACGACACTATACAACACTATATGGCACTATTCAACCATGGTTTTTTTCAGGATTTTTTCATGGGTCCGTTTTTGAAGAGAAGATTGAGTTTAGCTGAACAGTTGGGATGGCTGCACCCCCCTCCGCCCCTCAATAAATGTAGTTGAGACGCAATGTATTAAAGCAGGGGCACTAAGAGACACTATGAACTGGTTAAAGATGGCGAATGCGTAGTTTTTCTTGTGTTGTGAGATCAATTCCAGCCATTTTTTCTTGATTGTCAGATTTCCAACCGAAAACTAATTTCCACACGTCACGAATTTAACCCAAACAACTTCATTTTTACTGCACTGAAACTTTGGTGAGAAGTTTGAGTTTCAAAACTCAATTCAAGAATGAGTTTTGGGGGCCGTTTAACGGCCCTAAAAAATCCATGAAAAAAACCCTGACAACGTACGTTATACAAAACTATACAACAATATATAGGGTTATACGACACTATACCACACTATACAACGTTATACAAGACTATCAAAATTACGACACTATACAAGAGTGTACACGACAGACTATACAACACTACACAACGTTATGCAACACTATACGACACTATATAAGACTATACGATACTATACAATGTTAATTATACAAGACTATACGACATTGTATAAGACTTTAAAAAACTCATTAATAATTCTCCTGAATTAAAGAAAAATCATAAGCGTGTCGTGGTTTTATATGTGATATAAAATCATGTTAATTTACATAAAATTTAGCTTTGATTTTCTCGGTTTAGACAAAGTTTATTTTAAAAATTACTTCGCTAATGTACTCATCAGAAGATGGGTCGTTTTTTAAGCTATTTAAAGCACTCGTAGTCGTGTTTTATCACATATAAAACACTCCGCTACGCGTCGTGTTTTATATGTGATAAAACACTCCTACGCGTGCTTTAAATAGTACATAAAGCCCGGCATTCTCGGTAATTAACTTACTTATTTCATGATTGAAGAGGTTTTCTAACAAAGTTTTATTCTTTTTTTTCGATTTCGACAAGTATTTTTCTAGTTTTCTCCCTTATTTCTTGACTAATTAGGGCTTTATGGTATTCAAGGGCATTATGCTATATACAGCCGCGGTACATCAAAGAAAACCGAGTCAATCATGAAATAAATAAAGTTATACAACACTATACAATGTTATACAAGACTATACAACACTATATAAGGCTAATGACACTAAACGACACTATACAACATTATACAACATTATACAAGACTATACAACACTATAATTAATAAGGCTATACGGCACCATACGACACCATACAACGTTATACAAGACTATACAACAATATATAAGGCTATATGACACTTTACGACACTATACAACGTTATACAAGACTATGTGACACTATGCAAGACTATACAACATTATACTACACTATAGACGACTATTATACAAGACTATAGAGACTAAACAACACTACTAGTACAACGTTATACAAGACTATATGACACTATGCAAGACTATGCAAGACTATATACAACGCTATACTACACTATAGACGACTATTTAACGAAACTATAGAGACTAAACAACCCTATACAACGTTATACAAGACTATACGACACTATACAACACTATATGTCATTCCGATGTTTTCCTTCGTGGTTGAGTATTTGATAGTGACTTACTGTTTTTCACGTTTTTCTTCGTAAATCATAACAACATTTGCCAACATTGGACATGCCTGCATCATTCTGTCATGATATTTAAACGGTCAATATAAAATTATTACTAATAAGTAAACATTGTCAACACCGTGTAATAATAATTGGCTAAAACGTAATTGCAAAAAATAATTTTCTAACGAAATTATTGTCTTTTATTTGTGAAGAAATTATCGTTTTTCATATTTTTCATCATGCATGGCGGACAGTACAGAACGAGAGCTTTACGGCGACTTACGAGCAATTACCGACTGACAGAAATCCAAAATTCTTCTATATTTTGAATCAAGCTGCATCGATTTAACTCGGTCGAGGAAACTGGCACGAGTCATAACGTCAAAATCAGTTGTCAAGAATAGTGTGCTGCCTTACGGCAGCAACAAAATACAAAAATATATCAACGCGGAAACCAAAATATCGTCGGGCGGTGATGAGAATCAAGGAATTTATTTTATATGGCCTAACCGATAGCAAGATGCAAATACATCGTTAATGTGAATCAAATTGGACAAGGCGCGGTATTGATGCTCCGTTAAACTTTTAATTCAGGAAATTTATCAATCTATCTATTAATGCAGCCTATAAAACTGCTTCTTTCAACTTTTGTTCGTTTATTTAATAATATAGACATTTCAAAATTCAAATGTTTCAATTCAATCAAAACACAAAACGCCTGCGAACAGGCTATGATGTTTACAATATCCAATCAGAACACGTAGTCTATCGAACCTATAGTCAGCAGCCAATCAACTCTTTGCTTCCATTTTTGAAAGTTATGTGTGGAATGTGAACCCATGCAAAAACTACGCCAATTTCACCAGAGGGTTATTCAAAACAAGCGAAAATAAATACCCTCTGGTTCCAGGGTACTTCACAGTACACATTTCCCAGAAAAAGCTTTCTCACACCCTCGAAATCAACTGTTATACTTTCTGTTTATCTCAAAAACGAAGGTTACCAGCCTGTGTGCGGGTTATATATATGAAATTGAAACAGTGGCCTCTGGTGGTATAGTAAAAGCCAGGGACGCTGGAAGATCGATAATTGGGGGCAGATATTCATATATTCGTGTTCACAGACTGTAAAAACAATCGACTTCAAAAGAAATTAATTGGGCAGAACACGAATATATGAATATCTGCCCCCCCCCCCCAATTATCGATCTTCCGGCGTCCCTGGTAAAAGCATAGTTTTCTTAAAAAATGTTTGCAATCTGTTTCAATCATACTATAAACCGTTACGAAGTCATGCAGTTTTTCATGTACTTGTCTTTTAAGGTCCATACAGACCGGACGCGATTCGGGAACGCGACGCGAATTTTCAATTTTCAATGACATTTAACTTCAATATTTTTCTATGTTTTTCAAATATTCGGAACCACTTAAGCAATTTTAACTATTTGGTTTGATATCTTCTTAAATTTTTAACCGTTCACAGTTTTATTTGTTTTTAAAAACTGAAAATTACCGCTACACATATAACAGAGAGTATCTGATTGGTATAACACAATAATAACTAAGGAGTTCGGAATTAAAGACTTCTAACTACCGTTGCTATGGCAACAATGACGTCACAACATGGCGTATATTTTAAGTTTAAAATAACTTAACTTAGTTAAAATTAGAGTAATACGTTTCTTTAGGTCCAAAAATATGGTATTACAATATTCAAATATAGGCTTTGCAGAGCCTGCACAATCGGTTGTTGGCTTACCCGCTCGCAAATTAGGAATTACGTACCGGATTTCTCACAAACAGTATTCCCATAGTCGTTATCTCACTCAGGGGCGTAACTAGCCCCTTTTGATTGGGGGGGGGGGGGTGTCTGGTAGAATTGCCCGACGAAATCCATGATGCCCTTCAGCAAATTTTTTTGTCAATATTTTTCCTAAAATAGCTGGCGAGCGGGGAGGAGTGGGGGGGAAGTCGAAAAATGTTTTCCGCACATTCAAAAAAAGGGGCCAAAAATTTTTTTCCGACATACACCAGTTAAACTAAAGGTATATTATTTTTTGAGCAATATCTGAAATTTAAAATCTTTCATTGCCCTGCCCATCCAGATGGTTTAAAATTTTCGACTAGATGTTCAATAGTTTTGACTGACCTTTTCTTAGTTTTTGCCCGACGAGAGTACCGTTTCGAAAGATTGGGGGGGGGTGAGACACCCCCACCCCCCTGTAGTTACGCCCCTGGTTTCACTTGTCTGTACACTGGCTTGTCCACAGTCCAACAAATATATAGCGGTTTCATGGCCATTGCCGTAAAAGGA